GGAGATTTGCCCGATTTTACTGTCGAGACCATCCCTCCCTTCCAGAGAGTGTAAAGTCATTGCTGACCAGCTGTAGTGCGGACGATGCTTTGTATTATAGACACTACTGTACTAATAGTGTGCTCAAATTGTACATTTACATCGCCGATATGCCCCATCTCGACTTTTCGTGGACGATTCTCAATGAAGCCTCGTACAGGGAAACGCCGAAACCACCTACGGCATGTCTTTGATGTCATCAATAGTACAACTGAAGCCGAGGTCAAAATTCCCCATAAGCAAGGCTATGCCGGCGAGAGTGGCGGTGACACAGTCGGTTTTGTTGTAGGGATTTGCGCTGCCCTCGAAGAGCGACACGCACCGTCCTCGTAAGGCATAATGTTTTGCACGAGTCATCGGACAGGTTGTATTGGCCTTTTCGGCTGCGTAGTAGCAGCAATTGGAGGCAGATCGGGTGCACTGGTTGATCCAGCCTATACTGTGCGTGCCACAGTCTGCTGTTGGATCAAGGTCGACCGCTGCGGCCGGGCAAGGAAGAAGGAAGGCAAGAGCAGAGAGAGCGAGACAGACTTTCATGATGAGGCAGATTCTGTCTGGTAACAAACGGCGTTCAAACGGGGGAGGAGGTGTTCTTTAGTATTCTCGCATAATGGCGTAGCGTTCTTTTATAGTTGGCTAGAACGGACAATGCGCAAAACAGCTTATGCCGAATCCAGCAAGCATACGCGATCCCTGTAGGTGGCTTACATCAGTATGCATTTTGCGTCTCGTCCGACCTGTAGTTGCTGCGCAACCCCTCGTATTGACGAGGTTGAAAAGTTGACTGCATATTCTACACTTCAACAATCATCGAGCTCTATAGCTAAATGCAGCATCGGACCCTTTAGGGTTTTCTAATCCATAATGCCGAAAAAATAATAGAGGGCCAGGTTTGATTTATCTCCATGATGATTGGTTCTCCATAACCCACTAGCTTTATGGCCACGCTCCTGTTGCTTTGAAGTGCGCTATGGCAGTTCCAAAGCTTATGCGAACAAATAAAACCCTCAAAATAGCTGAACGCCCCGATCTGTGCAATTAGATGGATATTTCCCTCTTCATCATGTGCTTTCCCAGTTCCACTATCATAAACAGGATTAAGCCCTCAGGAACAGAGGGACACAGTTCCTATATGTACTTACTAGCCAACTCTATATAGAGAGGCCATAAGCAACAAATTTCAACCCATATAGAGCCAGTGTATTGCGGATTATACCGCGTCTCAGGATACCACCCATCAATCATACTAATGAAGCCATAAGCTTAACTGTGCCTTTGAGGGGTAATAGGGCTAGCAATAATTAACTTAAGGGATCATTCATTAATAATAAGGCATCCTTCAAATCAACCATCACCGCGACCTTTACTAGCACGGAGATACTCAGTAAAAAATTGGTGAACCTGTTCGATACTGGCCCTGTCCCAGAACTTCTTGTCAGAGAAGATACCATCCTTATATGATTCCTACACTACTTGTTCTGCAGTTGAATCAGGCTCTAGGTCCTCCAGTTCTTTATGACGAATATCTGCATAGAGTTCTGACTTAATCAAATAGTTGAACAAAGTGACAGCGGTAAAGAGTCTTACACAGAGATTGTGTTACACTCCACAACCAGCCTCTGCAGAGCAGCAAAGTCGCCAAAGGATCTAAACTTTGGGGTCTCATTGTATGGTATAAGGTAGTCATGATCTTACACATGAAGTTCCTCCACTTAACCTTTGTGAAGAAGCAGGGCTTCATTATAGATTATGAGCATTGAGGGAAGCTTGCTATAAAAGCTTCTTAGCAAAGAAGAGGATAAAGATAGCAGAAGCGCTCACTAGCCATTTACAGCTCCTGATCATCACACATATAGCTTGTGAACCAAGGTTACATCCCTCAAGCTAGATATGCTCAATAGGCAGACTGGATACCGGTAGCTGTAGTGTAGACACATCGCATGAATAATTCCTTAGAGATAACTGAGTAAAAGATATAGTATGATCTCCCATATCCCAGGCCAGCAGTTCACGCAGTAAAAGACTCGTAGGCGTTGCAGGGGAAGATCGCCTGGAAAGAGCGGTCACTCCAGCCCAGGCAGCAGATTTGGGTGTCTAGGTACTGCAAATTTTTGTTTGTTTTAATGCCTGAGATAGCAATAAAACATTTGAATTCCGTAAGGCTACAATATCATCATTGTTGATGTCATTGATATGAAGTGATTTAAACGCGTCAACTAAGAGAATGGTCTCTTATCATGTTCCAAAGCCACCGCGGCGGGAGAATGCCGTCAATGCTCCGAGGCTCGAGCTTTTTGACAGTACATTGAAACCGTGCATATTACATCTCAAGTTTCAATACTGCTCTACTCATTTTGGTAGTTTCTCCTGCGAATGTTTCTAGCAAAATAATGAAAGTACCCGTGGGCACAGTACTGTGTTAATGACGTCACTGTTGACTGAGGTTGCAGTGCAAGGTGACAAAGAGTAATGGATTGTGCTGATCAACTAGACTAGGCGGCTGTACAGCAGACAAGAGCCTCGCACTTGTTATATTGGCCGAGAAAGAGGGTACCTTATCTGAGCCTATTTCAAGTGACTGCGGAGGCGGATGCTCACGAGCTCAAATATATTGCCCAGTCCGCGCGAGAACCAAGCAGACGGCGCACCACGCACAGATATTCCGCCGATCCCAACATAGAAGGGAATTGGTGAAGAAGGGGTAAAAAAAGTCCCAAGATGACGGAGACCCCATTTCATGATCTGTCGGATCCAGAGCTAGGTTTGTATTCTCCTCGTGGGTGAGCCCAAGCTAATTGGCCTGATGCACAGAGAGCCTAAACACCCTGCAGGCGCTGTTTAACCAGGATCAAAGTCCTCTAAAAGCTGATTTGATGTGCGGCGTCTACCGCACCGACGAGGGAAAACCCTTCGTTCTACCAGCAGTGAAACAGGTGCAATCAAGCGCTCAACTGGAGAGCCACTGCTGACAACCGTTCGCATTCTAGGCTAGGGAACTTTTATATAACGATCCACTCTGGGATCACGAGTACCCGCCATCCCATATCGGCACCCAACACTTTAGAGATTTGACTTCCAGGCTGATCTTAGGTGGAGAATCCAGTAACATCAAGGATAAGTGGTAAGCGAGCAGGCCCTCCAGGTGGACTGAGCGTTGACCAAGGTCTGTATGACACCTAGCATTGTCACTATCCAGACACTCGGTGGTAGTGGAGCGTGCCACATGGGTGCAGTGTTTCTGGATCGGCATTACAGCCCTTGGAAAAAGGGCGCTCCAAAGAGAGTGTACATTCCCAAAGAAACTTGGAGTATGGCAGTCAGTCGTTCATTCAGGCCAATGGTAATTCTAACTGTGACCAGCGAACCATCCCAATGTCTTCCGCTACTTGAATATTGCTGTCAGCAATCTCCCTTACTACAGTCCCAAATCCGGAGCGGTTGCTTTTAGTGAATTGAAAGACGCGCTGAACCAGATACCAAATCAGTCCGTTGTCGTCCTCCAAGTCGCGGCCAATAATCCGACGGGGTGTGATCTTTCTCAGGAACAGTGGAATTCCCTAGTCGATGACTTCCGCCGAAAAGGCCACTTCGCATTCTTCGATGCAGCCTATCTAGGGTTTGCCTCTGGGGACTACGACAGGGACAGCGCCCCGCTTCGGCTGTTTGTTGAAAAAGGGATTCCCATGTTATGTGCGACCTCTTACGGTAAGACCTTTGGAATATACGGCGAACGAATAGGCTCATTGTCTATTCCGCTGCCTACCGCCGATCTGGCAAAGAAGACCGAGAAACATATGAAGCTTTTGGCCCGAGCGGAGACGGGGGCGATGCCAGTGTTCGGATCGAAACTCGTCGAGTCAATTCTGGGCTTTGAGAATCTTGCAAAGGAATGGAAGAGCAACCTGCAAACCATGGCTGCAGAGCTGAAAAGGCGACGTCTTCACCTTCGAACTTTGCTGGAGGAACTCGACACTCCGCGAGATTGGTCCTTTCTCACGACCCAAGCTGGGATGTTCTCGTGCGTCTCTGATTTCCATCCTCGGCTGCCTGATATGTGGTTAACTTATTACGAGGCTAACCTGACATTCTACTAGATACACTGGCTTAAGCTCGGGGCAGATCGACATGCTCCGAGAGTCGTTCCATGTTTATTTGCAAGATACTGGCAGACTCTCTATAGCGTAGGTGGCAATTAGGAGAAATTACTTCTCTTCCTTGCGGTTCCCGTGCTAACGAGCATAGGGGCTTGACTAAATCCAATATCAGCCATGTGGCTAGGAGTATCGATGCCGTTGTTCGTCACAGTCAGTTCTCCGAATCCACGGATACCAAAGTGATTCAGCAATAAAGTAGGATTAGTAAAATTCGGAAAGCAACTCTTCTATAACGCCGTAGCTGGAACCTGAGAATGGGGCGTATGAGTTACCAAGGGGGAAATTGACAATATAGCCCACGCTTACCACCAGCGTCGGAAGTATATAGACAATGGTCTCGACGATTTAGGGTGGCTCTACAAATGTCCAAACTGTGAGATGGAATTCTCCTATTAAGTCTATAGCTATAATATCTAGATATACTCTTTTAGTAGTAAGTATAAATTTCTTGTTTAAGGTTCTTAGTAGTTAGTCATCTAGCAGTAAGGGCTTTCTAGGTCTTTAATAGCTTACTAGCTAAGTATAAATTAAGAAAGGCGTTAAGAAAAGTATTATTAGGTTCTATAGTGCAGGTCAGAGAGAGTTTTATATAGTATGTAGACAGGTTTAGCTTCTATATTTTAATATTTAAGATACTAGTTTTGTTGTATATGTCTAGCAGGAGCAGGTACTTCAGGAAACTCTTTTACCTGCCACAGGTAGTGGTTCACTGCCTCTTCCTACCAGAGACCTGGTACTGCTGGCTAATCGGCATCCACTACATATGTACATTCTTGATTCGTTTCATTTCTTAATGTGCCCATGGCTCTATCGCCGAGCATGGAAATTCGAAATATTATAACAAATCTCCTGAGGACGCTCATATAGTCTTTCCCACGCACCAGCCTTACCCATCTCCTGAAAACCTTCCAGCCCCGCGTCACATAAAGCAACCTTCATCCACCCAACATCCTTCAAAGTACACCCTCCGACAGGATCATAACCATCATCAAGTAGGTCCTCTGGGTTATCTACGTCTTCAAGACCTTCCTGGATGAAATCTTCAATAGACTCAGGTTTCCACCACCCGTGCAGCATATTCAAGGATGCATCTTTATTGAGGCAGTCGTCAATAGGTGCCTGAAGAACACTTTGCAATGACTCTTCATCAACGAAAAGACAGAACCGATAACGCGCCGCTTCAACGTTAGAGTACCGAATCATATCAGGAGAGCCGCCTGACTCTTCCTGAATAGCAGTCGTCGCCCATTTCTGGAAATGCTCACGGATTGTCGCCGTGCTCGCACCTTCAAAAAGGGCTCGGTGCTCGAAGACAGTAGTCTGAAAGCTATGAAGCATATCTAGACCGTTATGGTTCTTGAGCATGTCGGAGATATGCCATCGGTACCGGTCTAGCAATTCGGCCCAGTCGGAATCATTTTGATAGGTGCATCGATAGATAGGGAAGCCCCAGGTGCGCAAGCCAGCTTCTTTTAGAGCTTTCTCGACGCGGTCAGCAAGATTATGACGAGATTCCTGATCAGGGGTGCGCCTCGACGGATGCCGAGGTGGATCCCGTTTGGATAATCTCGCCAGCGTTGCTAATGCTTTTGCATGGGTACTGGTTGAGCGGTCTGATGAAGTCCTTTTTTGAACCTGATATTTCTGTGCAGAATAGAGAAAATTACCGTCAATTATCGTAATAAGGATGCCAATGTAAAGGCATATGAGCGTAACTATACTTCATCCACTTAAGGTAGGTTAATTTGTGAGTTGTCATAGCATTTTCTTACATCCCAGGGTACTCGATGGTTTTCTTCAATCAGAACAGAACAAATGTAGGGCAGAAGGTTCAGCCGAAGGGTAAGCTAACGGGGAGACTATGGTTTTCCTTAAATCCCGATTAAACATAAGGCACCAGGACGTCCATACAGCCAATATCCTGCGCAATAACCTTCGCAAGCAAATTGGGATTCCTATGTTTGCGGTCTCATACATTTGTTTGTTGGTACTGCTAGGCTACCAAACGGTGCACAGAGGGTACCGCACCGTACGATTTGATTTTCTCTAGCTTCGCAGGCACGACATTTTCCGGAAGGACGACAGTGAGGTCCCTGCCCAGCGTCTGAGCCGCGCAAGCAGCGCCAATACCGTGGTTACCGGAGGATGCGGTGATTAGATTCTTGCCGCTCGCGGAGGAGGCCGACAGTTTGGACATTGCGCCGCGGAGCTTGAACGAGCCTGTTCGTTGGAAGTTCTCGGCCTTGAAGAGCACCCTTGTCCCTTACCGGTCTCCATGGATTTTTTTACAGTCCAACAAAAGACATAGTAGGACCATTTATGATTTTAAAAATGTTGCGTCTAATATCATATATTGGCAAACTAATTCCCGTCCGTTCACTATGTAATAGTACTCAGGAATGTAAGGCCGTCATCCCATCTTCAATAAATCTCACTTACATCAATCACTCCTTACAGGCCGTTCACTCCAATCCTCAGCAAGCCATGGTCATTATCAAGCAAGGCCCGAGTATTCGCAGACTGAAGCTCAGTGACATCCCAAGAAGCATGTACAAATCGGCCGTGCAGGAACTCCGCTTCGTCGGAGGCTGCCCACACTGCAAATTGGCCAGGGAGATTGACTGTCCGCAGGCAAGGCAAGGGCAATGTCAGCTTGCTTGAAAGCACCATTAAGGTGTTGCAGGAAGTGAACTGGCTTGCAAAGAGTAGGAAAGGTGCTTACCGTCGTCCCATGGCAGGGTATTCTCATCGTATCCATGGCTTCTAGCTGTCTCGGTCAGGACAGCGCCCGGGTGGAAGCTAACAATCTGCAAGTCGCTGGGTGGCACGTCTCTGGCGATAAGCTGCAGAAGAAGAGCAGCTGCGTTCTTGCTTGCGCCGTAGTTCAGATTATTCGGTGCCATGTCGAAATTGTGGATTGCGATTGTGGATACATTGATCAGGTACTAGTAGGTTGGAACGGAAAGTTGGTGGAAGAACCTTTCAACAGTACTAGCGTAGGTAGGAGAAGAATAACGACATACCTTCTTCTTGCTCGCATTTTGTCTCGATAATCGTTGCGCAAACCGGTACGGAGCTAGCACATTCACCCGGTAATCGGCCAGCAGCGTATCGACTCCCAGATCTAGCACCGGCTTCACCTGGGAGAAGCTCGCCGCATTCAGGACGACGACATCAACATCGACATTATCCCGTGCGAGCTGGTCCCACAGGTCGTCAATATGTGCTTGATCGGAAATGTCACAGACGCGACCTGATATCTGGCCCTGGAAGGAGGAAGGCAGCTCGGAGCGCAGCGAAGAAACGGCCTCTGTGACGGCTGCTTCTCGACGCCCGAGGATAATCACTCGATCAGCATCGGCGAGGGCGAAGGCGCGCGCAATGGCAAATCCTATGCCCGAGGAGCCGCCGGTGATAAGTATTGTGCGGCGTTGCTGGCTTAAATTTGGAAGCCGGGGGTTGATTTCTTCATAGGGCGCTCTGTGGGTTTTCTGGACAAAGTCCGTCATTTTGATAGTTAATCGTCTACGGACCGGAGATAGGTTTTTGTCAAGTTGGCGTGTCTTATACTGTCCTTGCTGTTGCATCATTTCTTCGTGATGGTTCTATCTAGTACTATTACTCTGGCATTGCTGCCTGGGGCAAGGGTCCAGAGACTCTAGAGTGTGAGATGGCGCACCACAACAAGGTTCTAGCGGGGTAAGTCAGGGAGTCAGCCTTCCTTTCATCCAACGAATAGTCCCTTCAATCACCTTGAGAGGCCCCACTGATTGATTATGCGATACCTAACTTTATAGGTACTAAGCTTATTCAGCCAGCTCCGACTACGTGAGTCATAAACTTGGGTTCGTTTTAACTATGCCTCAAATGTCTCCGGCGGCTGACAAATTCATATAATCGAGTCGAAGATGACCTGAGATAGGTATTATAGTATAGGATCAAGACTAAATTAGCTACTTTGCTATTGAGCTGCAGAAGCTGTCCAGAAGGTCAACGAAAGTTTCCTCAACCTGTCGAAACGTCAATTCCAACGTCTCATGTGCCATCGAGACATCTACATAGTACGCATCTTCAGAGAGTGAAGAAACGCCCGGTTGCCAATTGGACAGCAATCAGCCGCTGCAGGGAAAGTTCCCCGTTTGATATCCGCGATTGTCTGAGACGCACACCGGCAATAACCATTCGCTTATTTGCCGCTGCGGGGCTCGTAGCGGCGAGGATATGGGCGCGTGCTAAGTCCTGCATATTCCAATAGATGTTAGTCAACAATCATTATCTAGAATGGACGGACGGTCATGCCCTGACGTCCACGTATTAGTGAACACCATTTGGAGGTAACGGTGCGTTGGAAGAGGAGTCTAGAAATAACGTCCAGATCCGACCATTAGACCTATATTATTGATCGTATGTTGCAGAGGCCCATAAACCATGGGGGAACAGAGCACAACGAGGTCGAACTGCGCTTTTTTGTTCTCGATGGAGCCCCAGGCTGGGAGCCCCAGGCTGCATTGTGAAAGCATCAATGATGGTTGATCCAAGTTGAACAGGATCTGCGACGCACCTGCACGCTCTGCATATTTCTTACTTTGCCCTGTAAGCAACCGAGAGATCGTCGGTCCTACACGCCTCCTCCCAACTAACCGGATTCCAGTCGTCGCTAGTAAAGATCTTCCCGCTGTTAATAGGAAGATCGAAATGTATTAACGCGGCGCAGCGACTAGCCATAGCCACTCGCTTGACGTGGTGTTCAAGGACTATTGCAATAGCACCTATTAGCGGGGATATGCGCCCTCGTACTTTTGAGCGAGCCAACAGATGGCAGTCTATCAAAGCACGATCGTCGCAATGTTACTGTCAACTATTTGGCTGTGCCACAGAGTGCACATCGACATGTCCTCTACCCCAGTTTGAACCTCTTTTCTAGACTTCGCCTTTTGCGAAATGATATTGTACATGTCATACTGGACTAAGGCCGATACTCCAACGGCCCCTCCGACGCTGCCAGATTACACTGCCGAAACAACCGCACCTCATCATCGCCAAACGCCCCAACAACAGAATGCAGCACTCCCCGATTATGAAACAAGACCAGATCGCCCTCCTCCCAGTCATGCGCATAGACATACTGCGGGCTAATCGCCGGCCGCTGCAGGTTATACACAATCTCCCGCACCTTTTCCAAGTCATCAATCACCGTCCCATCCTTCAGATGGATCTTCCGCACAGCCGACGGGTGGATCTGCAGCGCCGGCCGCCCCGTCACGGGGTTCTGCCACACCATCGGCAGAATCTGGATCTTATCCTCCTCTACCGGAGGCAGCTCATCCAGCGGTAGCTCGTGGTTCTCGGAAACCAGACCCAAACCCGTGGGCCGGGATCGCGCGCGCGACATCCAGACATACCTACACAGTCACAATTAGCCAGCCAGCACTAGATTGATACTGGGGGGACATACGGATGAGGGGCATATTCCACCCGACTCCCACAGACAAACTCCTTCTCCTGCGGGGACAACCGCTCATACATAAGCTCCCCGCTCACAAATGCCGTTGTGCCCAGGGGGACCTCCATCTCCTCGCCTGACCCGTCATCATACCGCAGCGTCTGTGTCCTCCCTTTTGGCACCCTAACCGCCAGCAGGCTGGTCACCTTGGGCGGATGCAGCTCGTACAGCGCCGCGTCGATATGCCACCTGTAGAACCGTGTCACGGCTTTATCTTCGTGGTCCGGAACATGCGTCTGATGGAACGTGCGATGATGCGGGTGCTTAAGCGTAAAGTTCTCCAGCCCCTCGTACGAGTCTATGTGCCCGTGCCCGATAACCTGCACCTGGGGCTGATGCGGGATGGTCTTCAGATCCGGGTGGAGGATTGAGCGCTTCGCATCGATGGTCTTGCCGTGGCCGTAGGAGGTGGCGGCGGGGTCGAAGCGCTTGGTTAGCTCGTATTGGGCTTTCGGGGAGAGACGCGACTGGTTCTTGATTATGAGGACGAGGTGGTTGTGGAGGGCTGAGGAGATGAGGGCGAAGTGTTTCGGGGTGAGGTTTTCGAGGCAGATGTCTGTTAGGATGGCGCCGAGCTTGGAAGGGTGGGAGAGGGGGGTGAGGGTTGGCATTTTACTTGCTGGACATTGGGACTCGGACTCTGGATGTTTAGCTGGGAGGGAGATGGCTTGTTATATATGGTGAAGAACGGATGTGGCCGACGGGGTGTGCCGATTGTCGCCATAAATTCTCTATCTTTTATCTTATCTGTGGAACGTATCATTATGAGAATGTTCTTTTAGTGATGTGAGGAATGTGATCCACTTAGTCAAGCATTGCTAGTGACCAATTATCTTATCCATAGTGGGACAGTCGCCATCCATATCTTGTGTCGTCATTGATTGATATAGTTAGTGATAGCTGTAATCCTTACCATGGATATGTAGTCCGCTATTATATGTTACTATAGAAATACCAGGTTAAAGAAATAACAGTTGATTTAGAATATACAGGGACAGGTACACCTACTCAACAATGACTATCATCTTCTTGCACCACATATCTCTAACCCAAGGTAGCCACTCCGCTGTAACAACCTCCGCCAACCCAGTCTATGTATTTAACATCCTCACTGCGCCACGCCCACGGATCATGCCAGAAGGTTAGCCAGTAACTAGAATACAGCACTAAAAACACGGGAACACCAATATACACTGTGAAAAGTTACTCATGGACAATTCCAATAGGGAAAACATGGTAACTCATTGATCAGAGCCAGCACGCGCCGGGGGTCGAGCCCGAGCTCTGGTCTGGGACAACAACGCATACCAGACATCTGTAATGGAGAAATGCTTGATTTGCCAGAGTAGTGCTACTCATGGTAGCAGGATTTTATCGAGTCTCTGAGCCGGATCCGTACTCAGAGTTCTGTATATTGTGTATTCTAAGCGATGGTGATTCTCAATATGGTAACCTAACCCTTCGCAGGGCGAGGACTCCCGGTCTATAGTTAGTCAATGATAGTATGAACTATGCAACGAATTCTCGGGACTCGAAGAAAAAACTATAGCCATGTAGTTACCATGCTCGTTTGTTATTCTATAATATTGCATTTCAATTATTGTAATTATCTCCTAATAGCATGTGACAGCAAAGTGAGTATTATCGCACAGGAAGCCTTGCCGTCAAGACAAGAGCGGATGCTTGTTTAACAGATCCTCCACGGTATCGACCAAGGTGTCCTCCAAGCTCCGATACTGGAGGCCCAGGACCCTCTCCGCCTTGGTGCCATCAGCGATATACGTATCCAAATGCGCACCTGGCACACCCTTGGGCACCTTGTCTCTCAGCAGAGGGAACCGCCTGCGGATGATATCGCACGCATTCTGATAGAGAAACTGACCCCCTGCGACGATAAAGCGCTCACCAGCCGCCTCTTCCATCACATACGCCCTCAAATGGGCCAGCGCAACATCCTTGACATTGGCAAAGGCAGCAAAATCATTCTCTGGAACTTCTTTCCGAGCTCCGGTGATCAACTTCCAGATAACCTCCGTGGACTCGTTCAGTTTCGCCGAACCGTTATCAACACTCGGCCCAAAGATCCACGGCGGACAGATTGTAACCACGCTAAATCCGGGCTTCTGTTCAGCCACCCAGTCCCAGAGGCTTCGTTCAGCGAACGCCTTGGACGCACAGTATGCTATGCTAGCATTTGAGGTTTCCTTTGCTGTTTCATATGTGCATGGGTTCCAGTCTTGCTCGGTGTAACGGTATGCAGGTCGCAATCCCTGAGTGAGGTCTAATATCGCGGCAAAGGACGAGGTCAAGACAACGCGCCGCACGGTGGGAGCATATTCTGCAATAGCTTTGACAACATTGAGGGTTCCTTGAATAGCCGGTTGGAGAAGGTCTCTCTCATTGTCTTCCACATCAAGGATGAATGGGCTTGCGGTGTGGATGACGCCTGATACGCCCTTGACGGCTTCGTTGAAGGCCCCTGGCTCGGCAATGTCGGGAACAATCGAGAATGAAAGTTGGTCGGCGAACTGAGGATAGCGAGATTTGACTCTTTCGGCAGTCGAGGGGGATCGGACAGTTCCACGGACTTTGTACCCAGCTTCAAGGAATACTTGGATGATGTGTGCGGCTAGAAAGCCTGAAGCGCCGGTAATTAGAACGGTCTCGGACATTGTGAGATCTATGCAAAGATCGTATTCAATAGTTGCAAGTGGTTACTGGGACTTCTCTTGTTCTGGTTGGGTCGGCATTGTACCTCATAAATATAGGTGAGGTGAATGCTATTCCTGTCTCAATGCGGGGACAGAGCCCCTCCAAATCAGATGTCGGAACCATACTTCCATTTTTGTGGCTACGGCCAGAACTGTCGCTGTGCTTGGATATAATCATACATATTTCCATATTCTCTTCATGCCCATGAGGGTCTGGAGTCTGGACTATGCTCGAAAAGGCGAAGGGTGGCGTTGCCTAAGATGGAGGGCGGGCCGCCCGGTTGAGATCTTTACTTCTGGAAGTCCTTGTGACATCGGGCAGATACGTAATACATATTTCCATTGTCGCCAACTTATACCTTATTGCCTTTGCTGCTAATCAACAGTGACAGAATGACGTAGCTGCTGTTCACGCAGTTGCAATATTTTCGTTGAGCTCTGGGGGCATCCGGTTTAGAGTGCATCCATACAATCCTGGAGCTAGTACTCTTCTGTATCTGAAGCCAACCAGGCCCTGCGGATTGAATTCTGTACCCTCGCTGGCGGTCTTTGGAGATGTACCAAATTCACGTTTTGCCGCCAACGACTGGACCGACGCGGGTACCTCTGGGTTAGGCTTAGAGAGCTTCATAATCTCCACTATCGTCGAATCGTCTGTCAGCGTACTGGAAGTGACATTCCCATTTCCCGCATTGTTTCACAGTTTTCCTCCTTCAGGAACACCCGTAACCTTGCAATCAGCAAGCTGTTACGAGCCAGGAGTATGAGACTAGTAATAACTGATATGGTTGGCTTTGCAGGGAAATGAGAAAGGCCGGCTGAAACGATACGAGGTGGTGGCCTTGAAATATGCCTGACCATTATGGAGGGAGCGAGGATCTCTGAGACAATCCTACGCCTTTTTCGACCATGTCTTCAGATTCAGATTCTCCTCTGCGACTTCGTTTGATTGCTTTTCTCCGGCTCAGGATCGTCGAAAGTCTGCCTTCTTCTCATTAATAGTATAGACCTAAAGTCTAGGAGTGAATTCTACGGCTTCAACTCCTGATTGCGCATAATATTAGGGCTTATAGGAATTAGAGCTCTTGAATTAATCATTCTTTTTAATGCTTTGAATGTGGTGGGTTGAAGACGCGCGACGCGAAAACGCGATTTTACCTCACGAAACTAGCGCAATTACGCAGACATTTTGCAAGGAGCCCCTGAACCTCGATGACTGATCTCCACGAGGTCCCTACACCCGGTTTTCTCATACAAACCCACTGCTATATGCTTACTCCACATTATGGAGCTTTGCGAGAGCTGTACCGGAACGATCCTGGAGACCCTCCACCGTGGGATGGGTGGATCTACTCCGCACGAGCTGCCCCCGTATCCTCGATTACTCAAGGCATCCTGCTGGATATGTAAGAAATTGGTTGCCTGGATGGAATTCACTCATCCTACGCTATTCAAGAAATGGCGAGGACTGCCTATGACGTTTGTCTTCAGACTATCTGTCGTCGCCATACGAGATGGCCCCGGGCATTTGCTCCCCTGTGAGATGGTGGCCATGCCTCTTTTCCGAGGCGAGGTCGTCGATAGCGATGAATGCGTGATTAATTTGGACTTTATGTCAGAAGGAGGTAAGGATGTTGTTCCAAATTAAAGGATTTTTCTGGGACAAATCCCAAGGAACTAACCTGTCGAGCGCAGAATTCCGTCGCGCAATGGTTATCGCAACAAACCAGCAATCCACAACCGCGGACTTCACCCTCATCCAAACGTGGATCGATAATTGTATTCGAGATCACCACAGGTGTGTCAACTCCTCGGCAAATTCATGGTATCCGACCCGATTACTGCACCTGCCCGATGGCCAGGGGGCCGGTGTTAAGCTGGTTATAACCAAGGGCGCCCGTCTCAAGGGTCCGTATGTGACACTCAGTCATCGATGGCAACAAAATTCACATCGATTTCCAATGCTACGATCCTCGACCATTCAACAACTGCAGCAGGGAATTAACGTCCAGCGCTTGCCTCGGGCGTTTCAGGACGCAATCCTGTTAACCCGTCGGCTAGGCGTGGAGTATCTGTGGATCGACTCCCTATGCATCATTCAAGATACTGACGATCAATCAGACTGGCACCGAGAGTCCCTTACCATGGACAAGGTGTACTCGCACGCATTCGTGAATATTTCCGCGACATTGTCAGAGAATGGCACCGAGGGACTATTTGGCCCTCGCCATTCGCATGTCTTTTCTGCGCCACCTGGAGTTGAAGTAAATGCTCAGGGAAGGATCGAGACGCAGTACATCATTAACAGCGATTTCTGGCACGACCAAATAAGCAATGCGCCACTCAGCAAGCGAGGCTGGGTATTCCAAGAACGCTTCCTAGCACGCAGAGTCATCCATTTTGGACCCCAACAGATAGGATGGGAGTGTCAGCAATTGCAAGCCCTGGAAACCTTCCCGAGAGGATTACCCCCTACGTTGACTGTGGGTTCCAGGAGTAAGCCGGCGATCTACGAGGCCTTACAAGAACTATCCCAACCCGCCGTGGCGAATCCACGGGCTGCTCAGAACGCGCCGTTTTCTTCGGCCACTGATCTCCAATTTGCCGAGTGGTGGAATAGTGCAATGGAAGAATATTCTCGATGCAAATTTACCTTTGCGAAGGATAAGCTGATCGCCTTGACGGGGGTAGCAAAATATGTCGCGATGAATCGGCCAGCTGATCGGTATCTAGCGGGCATGTGGCAGAGCTGTTTGGCGTATAGTTTGGCTTGGTACCGCATCCATCAGCGTGGGCGCGTATATTCTAATCGCGACTACGTTGAATGCCGTGCACCAAGCTGGTCCTGGGCATCTTTTGATGGCGAGATATGCTTTCCGTCAATATTACAGAGTCATGTGCAATATTTCATGAGGGTTGTCCATATGGCTGAGGACCCGCTACTCGTCGACCGCTCTTTCTATTGGGGTTCCGATATGCCGCACCACAGCTCTATCAAGGTTGAAGGTTTTCTCTTCCCACTGCACTTTAGTTGGTCAGAAGGGATGATCGAGAGTCTTTCTCTAGTTGATCATGAGCTTCGCTTCAGCAAAAATGATAAACCAGAGGGTACACAGATTGACCTAGAACAAGACGACTGGCTTAGAGAGATGGCAGACACGGGACAGTTATTCCTGGTGCCTTTATACGCCTCCGCCTATTCCATGCAAGGGATGCTTCTAGCACGTGCAGGAGATACTGATCATGATGTCGTCTACCGACGAGTCGGGGCCATCGAGATTGCCATCTCGGCGAAGGAATCGACAGGCTTGTATCAGGGCATGACTGAGAAATCAAATATGGGAAAAGGGGAGACCGATCAGGCAGAGATTCCGCTGATCCTGAACAAGAATGCCCTGCATCTGATGAATATTATGGAGAATACTAATCAAGGATTCGGCGTGAGGAGTTTCCGTTCTGTGATTGAGATTATTTAGATAGACCACCTTATGTAACAGAGTTATTCCGCTTGTTCCCGCTAAACAACGTCGGCAATGCCCAGTAAGTGGCAAAACATCCCACGAAGTATACCTACGATATCGAATTTCATTGACAAAAAATTAAGAAACCGTGCCTTTAAGGAAGAATTGGAAGACCACCAGCTGTTCAGGGCTGCAGTGGCGTAACCTGACCTCTGTACCTTTGCTGTAACCCAATCATAACCTTTTGCACCTGGGCACACATCTCCATCCTCACTTGCAATAAACAAAGCTGTATCGCTTCGAGTTCAATTACTAACAAATTTGATTAGCTTAAGGGCCAAGATACTTTGCATAATAAGTAGCTGGTGATGGTCAGGGGAATGGAAAAGCCCTGGGCCTACTTATATCTATAAAAGTGCTCTTAAGATCAAGTTATCTACTTATTTAGTATTTACCTATCTTCTCGCCTACTTAGTAGTTAAGTTACTTACTCACCCTTAGTCACCCCACTCACCCTGCGATTTAGCATCTATCACCCACAAAGCAGCAAGTAGTCAAGGACCCAGCTATTGTTTGACCGCAATCATCAATGCTGCTTAAGTACGGCTGAGCGGACGGGAAGCCCTGTTTTCCACACCCCATGGTCGTATGTGCTAGGCATCAGTAGGAAGCAATATGTACGCTAAAGTAGACCTTTGAGCTGGGTTTCTGCTGCGCGTCGCCCACCCGAGCTTCATCACCCTCGACTCCAGCATTACCATCGTAATCCACACTCTATCCTGCGCCGCAAGTTGGGAGGCCTCATTTATATATCTTCCAACCGGACTTCACCTGGCCGCGGACAGCACGACATCCCATCGCCGAAACTACTCCTCCCGTGTTCCGTGCACCTCCAGATGCCCCATTCAACCGGATATTTTCAATCCTGATGACACGATTGCCCGGTGTGGATCTAGAAAACTCATCTGATACTTTGAACGTAGACGATGAACCGTGGCTGCATGAACTGAAAGCATGCATAGAATATATGCGTCAATGGCGTTCTCCTTATCATGATTCCATATGCTCCGCACTCGGCACGTGTATACAAAGCTCCGGGGTTCCTGGTCATTCCATGGGTCCTTTTGCGGACTCAAGGGATTTCTATGCCTTTCTCTTCAGCCCGGCCTCTCCTCATGGCTTTGGTTCAACTGTAGAGTACGAGGAAGCATTGTCGTGTGCGAAGAAGATTCAGCAACGTTCCCATTGGATAACATTTAACCACGGGGATTTCAAGGCTCATAACATCCTTGTCGATGAGGAAGAGCATCTGTCTGGGTTTCTGGATTGGGAGTCTGCGGGCTGGTATCCTGAATACTGGGAGTATACAACAGCAATGATGTTCGGAAAAGATAGTTGGTGGTTTCAGGCGGCTTCGTGGATGGGAGGAGACCAGTATCTTGAGGAATTAGCCTCTGGCGTCGCCTTGAACTTGCTGACGGTCGATTCCTACATTGCCTTTTAGTTATACAATTGTAGACTCAGTCAGCTTAAGCGTACAGGCCATACTTAGCTAGGAGACTCCGCTTGCTGCCTTTGCTTCTGTTAAGCGTTGTCACTCCTTCACTCGCTAGACCATATCTTGCGTTGTCGTTGGTAACTGCTTCCCCAGCTCAGCCCGCAGACTATTCTCATGGATTCGTTAGTATATGGTGTCTCCTGTGTAGAGCTATGACGCCACAATTTGACCACACCAGCCAATCCAAATGAGGCGAGTCTGTAAGAGCGGTCTACACAGTAGTCACCAATGCCAATGCAGATGCTAGCAATAATGGGCCTTGCGGAGCCGCTAGGCTATTGCCCTAGTAAGCCTAGCAAGGATGTGAGAACAAGCGATGTAACCGTATGGCATGGCCAAGCGCCCAAGCGTTATGACCAAGGCCCAGGACCCATCGAAGAGTATTGGCTATTAACGGAAGGACCGAGGAATTTCCAAGTAGAAACGCCTAAAAGTCGGTCAGTTCTCGATAAACCCTACCACCTTCTCATATTCTTTCTCATTCTCTTCAGGTACACATTCTGGCGAAATGTTTCGTCCTTTGGTTTACTCGGCCCTCTTTGCAACTACCCTTGGGTACCGCATCTTTGAGTACACAGGCCAACGCTGCACAGGCGCTGAAGTTAGGGCTCACCGGCTTGCAGGGCCTAGTGCATGTATCAAGCTAGACGAGGGAGCTATCTCGTCGCTTCCTGTTAAGATTGACAATGTCCATGTCCACAGATACTCGGTTAATGTTTACGGGAATGACGACTGCACCGGCCCCGTTGTCGGAGCTATTCAGAACATGAATGGTTGCCTTAATAATCTACATGCGTCCAGCAACACCATCGGCAAGTCAGTCCAAGTTGTCCCTGTTTCTCGGGAATCCGATACGCCGACAAGCGAAAGCTTTGAGACCGACTATCTATACAATCTCCCCGCGGGAGATGATGAGCATATGGAGGTCCCGATCGCCCACGGCCTCTTCCGCAGAGTGGATAAAGCTAACCACGCGGAAAACGGCGCCTATGTCGACGAAGCCTTTGGCATGTTCTTGACCACTGATCTGGAGCATGTCAGTAGCATCCAGAGCATTTGGGCCAATCCAATTGAGGATGCAACCTCGGACGAGTCTTTGAACTCATCCTCGGTGCATGTCGAGAGGCTAGGCAGCTTGGATGACATACAGTGACTTCAATGCGCTACTTCTGGGGAACCCTTAACCTCAAACCATTCTTTGCGCGTTGCTACGGGGTCGTTGGCTGTCAATTGAGAACGCGTGTGACGGTTTCGATTTCGAGTCCAGCGCCTGCGCTCTTAGTTTCGGTGACTGGATGATCCATCAGAACGAATGTACGGTATGACGCTGGGCCTTGACAGCATGACCTAAGGAGTCGTTACTACAGTAGTTCTCGAGAGCATGATTCCATCCGATACTCCTTTCTCAGCGGCTCCAAATTGCCATGCTGACTTCCTGATGGCAATTTCATGGTTGGTCGATCATGACCTTTCATGTTAGTATTGAGCCAGAGAGAGATTGCTCATAAAAACAAACACTGTCATTAAATATCTCGTCGACCTCGCAAGAATCGTCGGTAGAATCATAGAGTTTCACAATGTCAACAATTTAATAATCATAACTGAGATTTAACTCATTATAAATCTCTAAAGCGCCACTAAGTGCTGCCAGTCTTTGCATAGTCCAGTGGAGCTGCAGCAACTTGACGCTTGGAAGGGGCCGATGGACAAGGTCATCCGTTTCCAGCCATATCTTACGACCTGACAAAACCCTGCTATTTGTGCTAGGGTCAAAGAGACAAGCGTTGTCAACGCTGCCATCCAGGGACTCTAGAAGGGATGGTTTGGTGGTTAGAAGGACTCTGGCAGATCGGGGGAGCGAATGCAGCCAGTGAAACTCGAGCTCAAGGCATTTCTGATCCTGGCTGAGAGCAACTGGCTTCAACGCGAAGAGGCATCTCGCCCAGTATGCATGTGCATTAGGGGATAGTGTGATTCGGTTGGCACAGTGCGCAGTGTAAAATCCCCCCGACACGTCTCTTTTCCAATCTTCAATGACGCTTTCCGGCCAGAACCTGGAGAGCGCAGTCCAAAACCTACTGCGTGTTGGACCCCAAAGAGAGTGCGGGTAGATATGAGCGCTTTCCACACCAAACCCCATATCGGTTATTACGCATCGCCCGCCATCCCTTCCAAGAGCCTTCGGTAGAATCAAGTCAGCCGTCTGTAAATCCAGGTTGGAGTCATACACGTACTTCTTCGTCAGCTGACATTGATAATACGGAGTCGGCACCGGCTGCAGGTGTTAACCCTACTGGTAGTTGAGCATTCGAAATGCATAGTCACTTCCGTAGAGATTGAAACATACATGGCTTGATTATGTCATTGCAGACAACCGTCGTATACAGTGATCCCCCAGCGAGGCTAGCCGGGCTGATCTCGATCTGCCTGACGTACTCTTCTAGCTTGTCAACAGAACAGAGCCACAGCGCGGCCCAGACTTCCTGAGCGCAGTCTGCACTCCGGGGTTCCTCGCCAAAGGCGTCACTTCGCGCTCGGTCCAGCCTGTCAATCAGCTCCTGGCGGCGAGGATCTTCGAATTCAGCCCCGACGCCGCCGGAAATAATGATCTTGGGTGCCTTCATAATTATTTGTGAGTTGATTCGTGGTTCCCGAATTAGCTTTCACCTAAGTTCTTCGCCAGTAATAGCTAAGAAGCCACAAGATGACAAGACTCGAAAGTGGAAGTGTCGAACACACTCAACCTTCGGAGCTGAAATGGAAAGACGTCCAGACAATTAGTTCTAAGTATTAGAACTGATAATTAGCAATGTGTTCACGTAATGTACTGACCAGGAGAGGCAGGTGCTGGCTGACAGTCCAATTACAGAATAAAGAAGAAGATGGTGTAGAGGAGAAAATTCTTCAGTCAAAAGAAGAAGAGGGAGGGAGACAGGGATTGAGGCAGTGAATGTTGCTTGTAAAATCTGACAAGTGCGTATCATTATGATGACAGGCCTTTAGGATGGGGGTTTAGTGGGAATAATTTCAAGATAGTCTTTATTCTTTTCACAGAGCAGAGCAGAGGTCACCCTTTATAAATGGCTATATACGGGCGTATAAGACACCGTAACTACCTATAACTAGTAAATGTTAACCTCTTAGAAGTAAGTCATAACCTACCAATCTACTTTATTTTGATACCTCAAGACTAGCTCCCATGCTCATGGTTTACATTCTTGACAGTATGATATAACATGGCCCACGATGTAGATCTCATCGCCAAGAAACGCCACGCGGGGATCCAGGGACGGACCGAATTCGAGAGTGGATAAGTTGAAATAATACCGCTAGGCCGAAAAGGCGTCGGATGAGGTCCCATATCGTAGCGGCATCATACTATTTTCTAACAGAAATTACATGACACAGCAAAGAAGTTTCCATGACGTCAAAGATGAGGATAGTTCCTGTCTGTCCCCCTCATAGGGTAAAGACACTTTAATGACAAATACGCCCTGCATAGAAGTCAAAGCCGGGCTGGAAGGAAGACAACAGAATCTTCTGAAAGGATTTCGAAACGGAAGTTGTCACAGTAGGCTTGCAGCTATGCTCTACAGTTCGATGAGGGTACTAATAATTGTCTGTCAAGAGTGTTGGCAAAGAAGATAAAGCGTATTACCACTCTGCGTATACCTTTGCCAACCGCCTCCAGTGGCCCCAATCCAAAGACTAGGCAAGACGGTCCTGAACCTCGATACCTGTTTCCGAGGTGAAGCCACCCATTGGTGGAACAACATAATATAGTGCTATCTAGTCACTCTATCAGACATGTCCAGTAGTTTCCGCAGTCAATCCCTGTACGACGGACGGCGACTGGGGCGGTCGCGCACGGCGCCCCATCGGGCTATATTGCGGGAATGTGGGCGTCTTGTCCTCCTGTGACGATCCACATGCGCTCTGTCATGGACCATCAGGAATAACAGACCGTTCCTCACACAGAAGAGTTCATGATGACCGGCTAGGCGCGACAAAGTGATGCTGGACTCGTGAGAAGCGTGCAGGAGAACCCTCATCCTGAGCCGGATCTGACGACGGTCGTCGTTCGCTCATTATGTCGCTCAGTCTTCCCGCGACAGGTGCGGTACTCTCGAGGCCGCGCAGTACGAAGTGAAGCCTCTGCTAACCCGCACGGAGTCATTATGTGTGCAAAGTCGCGACACTATTCGGGCCGTAGAATTAGTATGGCGTCGCGATAGTCGACCGACGGCAAAGCCTGTCAGCTCTTCGGTCCTACAATCCGCCATTATTTTGTACCGTCGAGGCATCGAGGTGGATGGTCCATGCGAACAGTGCAAGAAGTGGAGTTTTACCAGAATACTATAGGCGAGCTTTGTTCTGTGGCAGTTGTTCGAGCCGTTGGTGGAACGGAAAGGCGTGTAAGTGTGCGTATCCTCGGTCTCAAACAGCCCGCCGCGAGGGGCGAATCATCGAGGCTCGAAAACGCATGTATCCTTCTGCTTTTCCTTGCTCATGGTTGCTAAGAAACCTAGTCGCGTTCCATGGCATAGCAAGCTGTCGTTTACGGATGCGAGCAGTTAGAGGACATCGTATATGCTGTATCGGGGGATGATGATTTAGCGCCATAGGAAAGAGCTCGTTTTATTTTGAGGATTCGCACACATGGTGCAGGAGGGTGTGTTAAATTTAGCCAAATATTTAGAGCGTGGATGAGATCCAACAGTTAGTTGCAGCGACGGTCATGATGAAAAAGCGGTGATGGTCAGGAAAAGAGAGGGAAAGAGTGAGAAGCCCTGTCTCGATGCGTTTCGACCTCTACCTTGGGGCATTATGTCAAGGGTTAATACTATTTTAGCCGGAAAATGAGAAAGCATTCTGCTTCTCGTCCCGGAAGGTAACTATCTCTTAGAACTCGTTTCAACGACATCTCCTAACATGAGTATGAGAGAGACCGTGAGTGATTTTCTGATTAAATCTATCAAATCTATTAAATATATGGACATCGACATCTTTGATTATACATGTCCTTGATCTTAACTACCTTAATGATTATGTGTCTGGGTATACGAGAATCCTTGTATTTGTATTCGGGGAATGGTGTATATATATTCTCACACCCGACATGTTAATCCTTTTATGCGACATAGTTCTCCTACATCTGTCAAGGCGACTAATTAATTTTGCTGGCCTCTTGTCAATCATCCCCTCTATCACATTCCAACCACACTGCCCCCTTACCTGTTGTTGAAATATCAAAAATTGATATCTCCTATCATGACCGAAAAAATGATTTCGCCTCCAATAGAAGGGTTGATTCAAGCCGAACTTGTAGGACACGGAGGTACGACTGACTATTTGTCAGCGACTCTGGTTCAGGACGTCATCAACAGTATCTCTGGACTCTGACCTGCAGGTAATTGATCCTTCGATAATGAGACCTGGCCATAATCATACCAAGGTCTGGCGGAAGTTCGGGTTACATTCAATCCTTTTAGTGGATGCAAATTCAAATTTTTTGTCTTGATATAGAATATCAACATTTTCATGTTTCAACAACAGACAAGGTGGCCGAGTGGTTAAGGCGTTTGACTCGAATTGGGTGCTGAAAGGCCGGAGGCTATGCCGCCGGCGTTGTCATCATCCCGAAATCAAATTCATTCGTGAGCCAGGGTTCAAATCCCTGCCTTGTCGTGTTCTATTCTTTTTCTTTTTTCCTCCCCTTTTTGTTGGGAGAATAGATAGGTATGAGATAAGGTGGAGGCTATGCACCCCTATCTTATAACCTCCTGGCTGATTCCTTAGGGAGCGCCGGTTCGAATCCGGCCCTTGTCTATTAAACAAAGGGAAAGATCCTCTCCCCTTTTTTTGCCGTCCCTAAGGCGTAGTCGGCCTTAGATCTCCTTTTTCTTTTTCTCTTTTTCTTTACATCAACAGGCAAGGTGGCGAAACGGTATCGAAGGGTTGAAATAAGGGCGAAGGATGTCAGGATCTTATATCTCGATAGCTGATTCCTTAGGCAGCGTTGTCGTCGGGCCCTTTACATGGCCGTAGGCCTGCAGATTCAAGGGAAGCGGTGTTCCGCCTGGAGATAAGAGCCACCCATTTTTCGTGTTCCAAGAAAGGCAAGGTGGCCGAGTGGTTAAGGCGTTCGACTCGAATGGTAATCGAATTCCCTAGGGAGCGTCAGTTCGAATCTGGCCCTTGTCGTTTTTTTGATAGTTTGCATCAAAGGTCCTTCCTGAATTGGGGTGAAAGTTGCGAACTTTCCAACAACGGGCAAGGTGGCCGAGTGGTTAAGGCGTTTGACTTGAATTGGTGCTGTAAGGCCGGAGGCTATGCCGGTCTTGACTTCATCGCGAGATCAAATTCTTTCGAGATCCAGGGTTCAAATCCCTGCCTTGTCGCGTTCTTTTCGTTTTTCCCCTTTTCCCCCCGAGCGGCAACCCTCTTTTCTTTTCTTTCTTTCTTTCTTTTTTTTTTTTTTTTTTTTTTTTGGGTTGGGAGGGAGGATTCCTTCGCACCTGACAATATAAACGTTTTTCCGAATAAGAAATCATTTGTTGTCCTCGTTATAATCTCTTGAGAGTCGCTCTCGATCGCGCCGATGTCATTTGGATCAAATTCCTTCCTGTCCTTGAGTATTTTTTGCCCTTTTTGAAGGCCTTCCTCCTAGGGTAAGTACATACCCATTTCCCCATTCGATGAGGGACTCTGACTTTTGCTGCGGGCACGAGCTGATTAGTGATGGTAGGACTGAAGGATTGAGAGAGAAGAGAAAGGAAATACAACACACACAGATGATCTGCATCAGCGACCAGTATGTAATCTCTCAGTAGATGTTAGTATCTGGGCTGCGTACTTGGATGTTTTGGGAAGCCACAGATGTTAAGTGGACAAAATGATGTGGTAGATGCATGTGGATCTGAGGCATCTGCAACTTCAAGGAAACATGGCATGTGGCATCTTGTCGCAGAGTGAATCCCAAGGTGGTCTTGTGTATGACTTTTAGCACTATTCATATGGTGCATAGACACAGAGAGGTAAAGAGGGAGGTAAAGAGGGAGGTAAAGAGGGAGGTAAAGAGGGAGGTAAAGAGAGAGGTAAAGAGAGAGATAAAGAGAGAGGTAAAGAGAGAGATAAAGAGAGAGGAGGAGAAAGACAACAATGGCTGTCAGGGTCTAAGGAGACGAGGCTTGTGCGTAGACGATAATGTGGAGTATGTTTGCTCCTCACAGAAGATCTATACCTAACCAGCTCCTAGACTTGATCAATGAAACTGGTGAATATATCGCCGCAAGTATCATCAGAACTCCCGGAAACCTCCGAGGATCATCTGCCTTGATGCCTGGACCTTCACTGAGACATTCTACACAGGAGTTCTGGTGTTCCTTCATCCTTTGTTTCCGCCTACACGTACGAGAGCAGTGCCATCTGAACAACTCAGCGCAATTCAAAGATTCTATCATTTTACCTCATCAAATAGGTCATCAAAATGTTTAATCCTGAGCCCCCCTGCCTGCGAAGGATGTGGTGCTGTAGGACCGCACATTATTTTGAGATGTTCAAATCTTCCTTGCGCGTACTGTCGTCAGGACGGACACATAATAGAAGAGTGCCCTACCTGGCCTGTCTGTCAATCCTGGCATCAGAAAGGCCATACATCCGATTGTCCTGAAAGAAGGAATCGCTATCAGAAAATAGTTGAAACCCCTACACCGCGAAGGCATCGAGGTGCAAGCTCCATATCTTGAACAATCCTCGACCGCGTGAGTCTCAGAGCTCAAAGCCAGGCATTCGAACTTCTACGCCGCAGAAACCCCCGTCCCAACCAGCGAATTTTTCAACCAACTAAAGAGTGCCGACGTCGATTCACGAGCCCAGTGGGACAGGAAGACGAACAGGTAAGGCTACCATAAACCCCCGTTCAGTAAGGTGCTGAGATTTTTCAGAACGCCCACCTCATCACACCAGCCATCACGTTCCCAGATCTCAAACAAACACTCACTATCATCATGGACTACCTATTGAATCAAGACAATGGGGATATGAGGCACATTCCGTACAGATATATCATTAATTCCGTGGGGAAAGCGGATCTTATCGAAGTACTCAGTGGTATCTGTCCAGAAAATGACATGGGAGAAGATAACCGCTATACAGTATGTACTACCACTACCACTATTATAGCATAGATTAATCTTACAAATGATCTGACCTGATTAGATTTGAACTCATTTGAGAGAAGCAGCTCAGCGGACCTGTGACGTACTAACAGTGGCTATCTTTGTCCTAGACGATTGAAACAACGCGTATTGGCACGCGGGAATTCACACAATTGGAAGACGTAGATCCTCTCGACGACCCCTTTCCGATGGCCCACAAGAAGACGCTTCCGTTAAAGCTGCCAAAAAAGCCAAGGTCATGCGAGTACTGCAAGTAGAGACGGATCTCGACCCAGATGCCCTCCTTGAGATGGACCAGGAGGCTTTGGGCAAGGCTAGGGAAATCTTTACGTTGTTCCCTTTCAAGGTGTCTCGCAAAAGCGTTCTCCTGCAAATGCCGTACTCGTCCCGGTATACAAAACAACAATGGCACTACTCAACGGCGGCCGCCTTTATTAAGCTGTAGCAGAACAGGGGACAGGATTACTGCGAGTTGCCCATGTATGTTGTCGCAAGTATTAGAGCTCAGACTGGTTAGTTGGATCCGGAAAATGATCCGCTAGTTCGGGCGGAGCTCAAGCCGCCTAGTATAGCCCAAAAAACATAAATACATCTGTCTCGCCATGACTACCTGCATCTGACACTGCCTCGTTCGCCTTATAATGAAAATGACCTCCTCATCCTCCCTAGGTTTTGCTGATGCATAAAATGAGTCCGCTGTCACCATAGTTTGTGCATGCTCAAGTAGCTTCACCCCTCGAAGCTCAACCATCGAATCAAGGCAGAGGCACCATGCCAACAAACTGATCAGCCCCTTCGATAGGACTCATCCACGCTACACGTCCGCTGGTGAATATTTCCGCTTCAGGCCTCCGTTGATTCAGAACACCAATATCGTCAAATATTCCAGCCCGGAGAATGGTCGTCTCCTCAGGATCACCATCAGAGTTCATTCTCAGCCCGTAGAGCGGTGTGCCTGGGCGATCTCATCAGATGATGTCTTTCCCATAGAGTTGTAAAGGACTGTATTGTACACACCGCAATCTCCGCAGAAATAGTTCTTGATATGCTTTCCGCTGTCTGCTATTTTGGGCACTTCTTTTGGGCTCCCGGTTATTTTCAGGTCGGTCCGTTTGACGACGAAATTGTATGAGTACAGGGACCCGGAGAGTTTCCGGCAGTCGAGACAGTGGCAGAGTCCCTGGAAAAGCAAAGCAGGGTAAGATTAGGCCAGTGTCAATGAACAGTCGGATTAAGTTGTTGAAGATAAACCCACCGATGTCATGGGTTGACCGGTATATTCAACGCGGACCTTTCCGCAGAAACAACCGCCAGTAGCGGTAGTAGGAGTAGCCATTTAAACAGCAACTATCTGATCTTATGAACTTATGATGCTACAGAAGGGCTTCGTGAGGGAAGTTTGACACTAATCTACTCAGCCTGAGCGGACATTTATCTACCCGAGTCGTAAGCAATACCTATGACTCTGACCCGAGCGATCCAATAATATGTTTGTAATCGTTGGCGTCGTTGGCCCCAACATGTGATTGTTGAGAATAAGCATTCTAGTCAACAGTTTTTGTGCAGGAATAATTATCGCTTCTAACTTGTCCTAAGTTCCTGCGGATATTTTTGATTATTCTTTTGTTGCGTTCAGGATAGGGCAGCCTCGGTGTCATGTTGGGCTTAGGGTTATGGCAATCCTCGACATACTGCTGCAGAATAGAGCATATCAGACTTTGTGTATTTACCATCATGCATAATAATAATGCAATTTTTCTGGGAGTAAAAATCTATTCTTAGACAATGATTCATTCCGACCTACCTGATTATGGGGTAGCGTTGTTTTGGTTACGAGCTGACAAACCATGCGAGTGTCTCCAGAGGGGAACCTTTTCGATTCTCATTGCATATAGGATGACTTATGGCAGCCATAGTGAGTCTGTGAGTACTTTGCATTGTTTACCGACTCCCAGCTATTGCCTCTGAATGTAGTAATAAACTGACAGTGGGACAGGTTGAAGAGCAGGATGAATTATAAGGTAGTCTGCAGATACAGGTTCAACCAATCATGCCCTGGATGTTTGTCTCTTTGACCAATATTGAAATGGAAGAGCACTGGGTTAGCTGACCAATCAAAGTGCGCGGCAGTCACAATTTAGCTTTGCCGGCTTCTATTAGTTCTAAGACTGTTGAACACATTATTACAATCCTATTCCTACTACACGACTCTAGACACCTTTTAGTGGTGGTTTTATGGCTGACAGCTACGCACTCAATCTGAGTCTCTTACGACAACAAATCAAGCCATGACGTGTTTGCCACAGGCAACAGACCAGTCGCCAGGCCTCCTTTTATCGTTTCCCCAGGAAATCCTCCAATTAATTTTGGACAACATTCTCATAAACGAACTTTACACAGGCAAGTCAATCAAATGGCGCCTATCCTGTCGGGTCCTGTCTTTCTCCCAAATTATCCGCAAAACAAAGAGCATCCGTGGCGTCTGCAGCTCGTGGGCCATCGCTACCCGTTTCCTTGTCTTTCGAGGAAAATCAACAAGGAATGGATTGGTTCTGTTACTTCCCCGTCTCTTGACAGAGGAAGGCCTTCGCACATTTCCACTGCTCAGGGATTGCATGGTGGAACTCTGTCATCCATACTCGCTCCGCGAGCTCCATTTTCTCCAGCAGGATCTGGCAAAGTCGTCAGTGGATTCACGCAAATATATCTGTGCTGTTACCTGGAAATGCGACGACACTATGGATGTGATGAGAGGTGCTGTTGGAGGCATGGGATATGGGACCATCGGGCAGAAGATGGTGGACACCTTTGTAGATGAATGCATTGCCGCAGGGCTGAAGATTGCGGACTGCGCTGGTCACCGTCCGAACGGTGGGAGTCCAGCTGAAAGCCGGCAGTTGGAGGACGCTGCCATCAGAGCAATGAAAGATTTCTTCTTCAAGGAGGTCCTTGCCCTGTGGTATTACAATGCGCATATTGTTCGACAGATTCTCAGTGCATTCCCCCCCCTGGAATACCTTGTTCTACCGGACTTTCTGCACCTTCCGTTTCTGACAAGGATGAAATATTTCTTTCCAGCATGTACTGATCTTGACGATGAGTTGTCTCCATTCGGCCCGGTCAGCTTCTCCCCCCCGCAGATGTTGCAAACTCTTGGGATTTCGTATAGGGAGAATGGCCGTCGATACTCGGACATTATGGCGTCTGTCAAGGCGGTGGATATTTTCTCAGGACACTATAACCCGATCTTGGCACTGTTCAGTCGCAGGTCTGATCGTCTGCCCGCTGGCCTGCTGTCGCTGCTGATATTCAACCGTTGGTGCAATGGAAATCGTTCCGAAATTGGAACTGATGTTATTGAGAGGTTGAGGAATCACGTTGACAAGGCAGTTTCTCATATACCAGATAGAAAGAAGCCCAGGCTATTTGATGTACAACACATGAGGGGTGTGATGGATGAAATGTATGAGGACTGGTTGTCATGATTAACTTTAAGTATCATACTAATGTTTTGAGGCCGGATATTGCAAATTAGTTCTACTGATAGGAATGAATAACTATCATCGACTTGAATCCCTCTCTCTGCTTCTTACGGAGATGAACTGAATTGAACAGACACAGAGAAGATGACTCCCATCAATTATATTGTTCCGAAACCCAGTTATGTTTAGCGTTGGCTACTTTGCTTCCCAATAAAGAGGTGCGAGTCTAGAACGCTGATACCACTGCAATGCCAAACTCTGGTCTTGATTCGTGTTTCTGCTTGCCTATCGGGTAATTCTGAGTTTGTCCAAGTAGAGGCCAATTGGATCAATTTGACCCCAGATGGGTTCCGATTAAGGGTGTTCAGTGCTACCGCTCATTACTGACCCCTTGTTTCGGTTATGCGATCGGAGAGAAATTTGCAAGTACTTGGGAAAAGAGAGTATAGTACATCATTAACAGTCTATAAGTAAATCTTCTGTTGTCTCTGCTTCGGTGTCTGCATCCTGCTAAGTACTCTCCTCAATCTCCTGACCACCCTCTTCCTGGCTCTGGTTCCACTCGTCGCTTACCCTCTCGATGAGATATTTGATGCTAAACTCCTTTTTATCCGGAATAAACGCCTCCGCAGCCTCAAACTTTCTGAAGGTTAGAGGATCTCCGTCCTCAAGCTGGCCCGTCATAATGTCTATCATCTCCGAGACCTGCTGCGCGATACGCTTCTCGCCAACTTGTTTAGCTTCTTGATTGATGTCTTCCAGTCTCTTCAGCCAGAACATCCATCTCCAGTGACTGAATCCCGAGGGAGACTTTTTGCCAAGATCTGACTCGACAAACATGGCACCACCTCGCCCAAGATCATCAGGACAGCCGTTCCACGATTCATCTGAGAGCTGGAGTATCTTGTATCTTGCTTCCTGTATCCAAGCATACACCGCCGGCAGGAAGTCGGCAACGGTAAGGTCTCCCATCCTGCGATCAGGGTTGGCATCACCAGAGCCATCGAGGCTACCAAGCGGCCTCGCCGTCTCCAGTGCATCGCGAAAAGCCAGTAGAGCAATCTGGAAAAGCCCATCGTTGCTCAGACCTGCAGACGAAAGCTTGGCCAGAAAACGGGCAATGTTGCAGCGCTGGGTAGCATTCATGGTCGCGCAGTCGTTCAGCCAGTAGTCCGTCATGTCTGCAACAAGAAACGGCAGATCTTCCCAGACGACGCCAGCGGTTGTTCTGGCAATTTCAATGTCCTGGTGGTTCTGCTTTGCTGGTCTTTTCAGCGGACCCATCGCGCGGAAACGGACGATGTCAAGGACCAGACGATCATGTTCCGGACTTTCGTGGGAGAGGTGCCTGCCACCGTGGTAGCAGACATGCCAGAAATCATGTAATATGGGCTCAAGCGTCTCCATGGAATAGCCATCGTGGCGGTATCTCATGCTTAGATACCACACAAGGTTATACATTGATCCCCGGATCTCGTCAAAGTTACCCCGTCGGATATCATCCTGGACGGACTCTCTATAGCCAGGGGAGGATTCCAAGGCTGAGGCGTGCATATCCCTGCTAGGGGGTCTGCTGGGGTATAGGTCTCCTGAGTCTTGCATTTCAATGGAAGTGGAGGTAGAAGCTGGCCTTGGTACAGGTTTGAACTTGTGATCTGATGAATGGAATAGGAGGCAAATCGAGGGTGAAGTTGGACTTGATTGATTCCCACTGCTACAAGACTTTGCCAAAACTCTTTTCTGTGGACGATATATCAGCTGGTTTAGGCAGCAGTATTTACCGGGATGTGTATATAATCCATACTATTATAGTCTATAGCGATATTCCGTGTTGATACTAGGTTTCAGTCCTGTACTTGAAACACTGGTACGTGCTACTAACTAGTACTGTTGTTATAACATCCTATATGGCAAACTTGTTATTTGCACCAAAATACCAAGCACAGAGGCAAGTCTTCATTTATCCTCTCACGTATCTTGATAGATTTCCATGATGAATTCAGTCAGATACAATCTCGACTATAACTACTGTAGCTAAAGTAAAATCATCAGACAAGATACCTGCCAAAGAACTCCACAATCTTAGCCCCAGGCTTTTCAACCTTGTCATACAGATCCGCATGCGTCAACCCATCCACCACAAAAAGCTCCTTTGGCTCCTTGGCCTTGGCCACCCCATCCTCACTATACCACTTCGTCGCCGCCGTCGACCCCGTAACCATCAGCAACGGCCGCGGACTAATCATCTCATTGAACGCAAACGCATCAAAGTTCGCCATGAGGTCCCAGCTCCTTGGCAGGCACACATTCGGCGCACGAGGGTGATTCGCCCTCTTGGTCCGATAGTAATCCGCCAAATCCCGGAATGAATCGGGATAGTCGGCAGGCATATCCTCGATGCGTTCCGGGAGCATGTGCACGATGGGGACCTTCTCCCCAGTGACATCGCTATTTCGGTCCTTGGCTGCAGCCTCAAGCTGCGTCTTGAGGATCTCCATGTTGGAGGTATCCTTGTCGAGGCCGCGGCGCGCCATTGTGCCGACGCAGACGGCTGCGGAGGTCGCGACGGCTTTGATGCGGAGGTCGGTCTGTGCTGCGAATGGTGCATAGCCGCCGGAGGCGCAGATGCCCAGCACACCAATGAGGTCGTTGTTTACATCTTTGCGGCTGATGAGGTATGTCACGGCGGATTTGATGTCCTCGACGCGTTGGGCGGGGTCTTCGAGGTAGCGGGGTTCGCCTTCGGATTCGCCTTGGTAGGCGGCGTCATAGGCGAGACAGGTGAAGCCTGCTTGGGTGAGGATGCGGGCGTAGTTGGCGGGTGACTGCTCTTTAATGGAGGTCCAGGGGTGGGCGATGACGACGGCTGCTCCGTTGCGGTTGGGGGAGTTGGGAGCTGGGGGGTAGAAGTGTGCCGCCAGTTTGTACCGGCGGGATAGGAAGGAGACGTTTTCTGGGGTGCTCATTGTAATAGTGTTGTCTATGGTTGTTTGCTTCGGATTATCTTTCAGTCTACATCCTACATCCTGCATCTGGTGGTCGTATCCTTTTTATGTAGTTCGCTCCGCACTGGGGCAACTGGCAAACCCAAAGATTGGGGAAGGTATCCGACAATCTTCGGAGATGGTTTAGTAGATCGACTGGTGGATATCTAGCAATCCACATTCTTCCACAAAATCTAGCCTATCATGATGACGAATATCCGAGTGATGACCGCGTAGATAACTGTAAACCGATGTTGTTCACTTTTGTGGTGGTTAATCACAGACTCCAAAATCGTCGCCGAAATGCGTCGGGTAAAGCAGAGTCTTACATCATTGATCTAGCTGAGCCGAGAAACTGTAGCAGGGCAATTCTGGATGTCTAGATGATTTTTAAGGTTACAAAACACTGGACCAAGATACATGGTTTCTTTACCGTGGCTTGTTGTGTATATGTCAATTGTACCTTGGGCATCCTCGGCTCGAAAGGAACAACGTGGGTCCCTAAACACAGCGCCAAAGCAATATCATAGTTATCATCTATTGCTTACCAACAACCACAACAGATCATGGCACGTTTTGGCGGCCAATCCGGCCCCTCTCTACAACCTCTACCTGGGTCTCGTCCTAGTCTGCTAAAGCGTTTGATGATGCCACCCGTACCGGTGTACCACATGAGCAAATATTCGGAGCAGAAATCGACACCATCGGCGAGGACCAGCTCGATGATAAATTTGTTGCACTTCTCGCCTCAGACCATACCGACGCCATGGCAGAGGGTATGCTAGATGAATACGCTGACGATACCTTGGAAGGACCTCGAGTCACCACCTCCGACTTGCCTCGCGTGTGGAAGGCAACAGCTGTGTATGAGCAGATAGCCGAGGACCATCCACGGCTTGTCCGATTCGGCCATCGGGATCCATTCTTCGGAATTCCCATTTCGAAAATGCCGTCGACAACCCTGGAGGACTTTTGACCAGGCATAAAGCGATCATGTACGATGCTGATCGCATAGTTCCAAAGTACCACCCGTCAATCCACCAGTGGGCGCTGCATCTCATCTTGGACTATCTTTTGTGCATTCCAAGGATACTGCGTTCGGCGACCTCAGAATCGAAGTATGCTGGCTGGAAAAATACCTTTCTCTAATGCTGCTGGGCTTCCTCGATGCTGTTTATAAAACACCCGGGTTTTCAAAACGATATATCAACCAGGGCGGACGATATGAGTATGAACCGTTTCATACCTGTCATAAACCCCGAAGGGAGAGTCTATTAGCTACTACTCAGACCGATTTCTTTGTCTGGGGATGTCTTGTCTATCAACTCATGACAGGATTCTGGCCTGGGCATGAGCGACAAAGATCAGATGCGGAAATCCGGTCTTTGTTCCCGAATCGCCAGCGGCCGTTGCTTGAAACAGAGTACCTTGGTGGTATTGTACGGAAGTGTTGGAACTATGAATATCAGGATGTGGAGCATTTCAAGACAGATCTGATTCACTGTCTGACAGATGAGGGCTGGGAGCTTGATGGGGATGAACTGCGTGGCTTTCGAGCTACTGACCTTTTTCGAACTAGGTGATCCTAGTGAAGATGGATGGATGGTTTTATTTTATACTGAACCCTGCCGATCAAGTTCTCCATATCGAAATTATCATCTGCGTCATGGAAGTTGACCCAGCAATCGTCTTACCTATACATACGACAATGATCATCCCTGCTTTGCAGGTAATCGGAGTCTGCTCACTCCCTCTCAAATCTCTAATGTTTCGAAGAGGATTCAGCACCATCTCTGATTGAGAGAAATGCCGATCTATACGGCCTTATATGACCCGGCCAATATGGAGAAGGTTGGGACCAAGGACAAGATATTTCATAGCCAAGCCATAATCGCAGCTGTATCACTGGCTCTATTAGATGAAGTACCAATTGAAGAAGCTGATCTTTACAGATACCAAGGATACCGATGGCTGTGCGTGGTCTTTGTGATCCTACTTACCATACTACCTACCTCTTTACAACGAGTCCTAGAAGCTGGGAAGATGAGAAGCTCGCAGTGCGTTATCGTAAATTCTGGATGTGACCCAGTTCACAAAAAAGCGCATACTGGCGCCTTTTCATAGCTTTATCTGCTTAGTCTTTGACCAGTTCAGCAATATCCGAGTACGAATCGCACTCTCATCATCACGCGCCACGGCCTAACGGTCACGAAATCTCTGAAGTCATGAGACTGGATGAAAGAGTATATTCCACCAGTTCCATTGCTTAGATCGACCCTATAAACCGTCGGTACGTCGGTGGAGGATGGCCTGACCGTTATACTCGGGTTCGCGACCAAAGAACGTCTCTGATGTGAGTCTCTTCCACATAGAACTAGGTGTAATATCATCGATTCAATACTGACTTTCCCGCAAGTAGCAATATAGACCTTCTTTGAGGTTCAGGTTATTCCAGACACTACTTCCGCTCGCAGCTAAGGATCCATGCAGGAATCGCACTTTGATCATTGAGCTTGGTACGTCTTCCCACTGCCAAGCAATTACAGCTGTGTGGAACGACAGTGTCATACGTTGCATTTTCATGGCCCGCAGTAAACAGTCTACGACGCAATTGTGCACAGATTCTAGATTTGGACTTGTAGTTGCGCGCGGTCAAGATCTGGGAATTGGTGGGATAAGGATTCGGGACAATTCTACCCAACGAAGAATCTCACCAACAGATCAACTTCGCCGACTCAGACGTCTATTAGTAGTCTCTTGTATATTGTTGTCCTTTTTACAGGGGCTATCGTAGGATTGGCAGCACCGTGCCTACAGCTTCCCTTTTTGGCGCATTGCGAAGTAGTTAGTGCTGAGCCATATTACGGTAGGCCAAAATAGGCGTCAGGAATACCATTTCTAGTTTAATAGCAATAGTAGTGTAATACATGTTTTGATAGATAATCCTAGAGAGAGTGACATTTAATGAGCATTGTATTGAGCATATACTTTGCCGTACGACATCACAGAAGTCGTCGATGACGTGGATCTTGCACTTCCAACTCCAATCTGGGAAGAGTCTACCGGCTGTCGTCATCCTTTTCTAGACTGTACACATAGAAAAACAGAATGAAACACTAATCAACTACCAAAGTCAACTGGATATAATACGGCCGTTCACGGCCGTGAACGGACTTCTGACGTTGGCAAGTGGCATTAGCTAAGGGACAGGAGGTCCTGATGCCAACGACGACACATGTATGTTAATGTGAATGGCGGAACTGAACAAACGGGCTGTGCTTAACCTGTTACTATCCCAGAACTGCATGGCGGTTCTTTTCGCTGGCACCCCCAGAAAAAGACAGAAGACATTTCGCAGCAGTATTCAGTTGTCTCCGACACCAACTAGTATCCGGGATGTACAACATCTGGGTGAAGGCCCTGTATTTCGACGGCTGAAATGATGTCCACGGTTGAGCAGTTGTGGAAGGATCATTGATCGACCTCGTGCCGATGCCACCACGGACCCTCCAAGTGCCGGAGGTTCCCTACGATTCATTTACGAAATCGGCATCTCGCCACTGAATCAGCAAAAGCATCGGGAATCAACGCGGTTGGCACGTTTGCAACACCCAACACTGTCTATAAAATGTCCCGAAGGAAGCAATAAGGGTGTGCACGTCTTCACTGCGTGTCGGTGTCTATTCCAATCTTGTTCTGAGACTGACTATCTACTTCTCAAGTGGTACTTTCTCCCTTACTCTTTTGACACCATTTCTTTTCTTTTAACTTCTTTAACACTTTTACTCGATCATGGCAACATCTGCAGTGCAAGTCCCTCTTCGTGACCCATGGGCGTCCACGAACTTTGGAGCTATCAATGAATGGCGCACGAACGTAATCAAGAAGGCCGCAGTCCGTCCGGCGTCCAAGTTGGACAAAGCGGTTCAAAATTTCCTAGATTTACTCAACAAGAAAGAACTAGGACTGGGGGAGCTGGCTAATAAAATGCTCAATGAAGTTCCACAAACACCTACCTATGACTTCGACCCTAGTGGTCAATTTGGCCGGATCTCAGACTATCAACAAATGGTGCAATGTATCAACGGTATTTTGTACACCGCACCGGCTTGGCAACAAGATGCGTACAAAGCCGGTCTGATTGGGGTCCCATTCAATGCCCTTTTCAACTGGCCCTTGGCAACAGAAAGCGGATACAAGTTCTTCAAAAACCCGAAAGTCAATGCCTGCCTGAGAGACATTCTCAAGGCACACGGAGATTATCTTCGCGATCCGAACAGGGATTCCAAGGAAGTTCTCCCGTCCTGGTTTGCCGAGGACCCTCGCAACCTCATGACCGAAAAGGCCTCCCCATACTGGCCGGACGGCACCAAGAAATCGTTTGAGGAGATATACGTCTGCGATCCCCACGATAAATACTGGGGCTTTCCCACTTGGGACGACTTTTTTGCTCGCAAATTCCGTCAAGGCGTCCGACCGGTTGACCACCCGGACAAAAACCATGATCCGGATGAGCCGAGTAAGGCCGTTGTCGTAAATGCCTGCGAGTCGGTGGTCTACCGGTGCGAGGAAAATGTGCAGAAAAAGGCTCGCTTTTGGCTTAAAGGCCAGCCGTACTCACTCGCTGATATGTTGGACTTTGATGAGACTGTGGACAAGTTCGTCGGGGGAACAGTCTACCAAGCATGGCTCGCTGCCGAATGCTACCATCGTTGGCATTCGCCCGTCTCTGGCACAGTTAGAAAAACCAAAATGGTTCAAGGAACTTATTTTTCTGCGCTGCGAGAGTATGGCTTCCCAGAGGTAGTTGGTGACCGTAATATACCTGACCCTTCTGGTCCAAATCTCTCCCAGCGGTATATCACGGCTGTGGGAACGCGGGCTCTTGTCTTCATAGAAGCTGATAACCCGACCATCGGGCTCATGTGCTTTATTGCTGTTGGCATGGATGAGATCTCCAGTTGCGATATCACAGTACATGATGGCCAGAAAGTTATGAAGGGGGATGAACTAGGCACGTTTCATCTAGGAGGTTCAACTCACTGCTTGGTTTTCCGGCCAGAGGTACAACTGGACTGGAAGAGAGATGCACAACCACCGTACAGCGACGTCCAATTCGATCAGCATACCATCATTCCGGTGAATTCGTGGCTGGCTTACGCTCGACCAGCTTAAGACCTACTATGTACTTTCGAGTTCCGATCGACGCATTGTTAGGCAGCGGAACAACAAGGAATGCATATGCAGATCTGCGATGTACACGTCAGAGCTAAAACAGGAAATGAGAAACGGTGCGATGTACTTATGGTAATAACAGGCAGAAAACGAATGATTTTATTGCCACTATTTCAATTGTTCTGCGCTTTCTGGAATTATCGAGTACGCTTGATTACTAGCCAACATGCTCGTTAGGATCCAAAGTTGTTCACGAAAGGAATGAAACCAGAGGAGTAGCAAAAGCAGACCCTCTTGGAATATGACAAATAGGATCAATCACTTGTTGAAGTTGGTGATTCAACTGTTGATGTAACCACACCTCTGTTGCTGGAATGTAGGAGGTGGAATGAAGGTAAGTCCACTGGCGGGAACATCCGGAAGGCGAATTGCCTTTGTCCATGGATATAAGAATCGTTCCCATGTCTGAGCCGTCTTGGGATGAGAGCTCAAAGTTAAGCACTCACGAACACAGTAAAATATGGTGGTAGACTCCGGAGAAACCTTCTCAGACTCGGGCGACTCAAGCCGCCCTACTATCGCGCAGACCCGTGTCAAAGTTCCCTTCCTGCTGCGGCACAGTCTTTTTAGCACGATTTTAATCTTTGGAGTTGGATTGCTCCCTTTTGCCATTCCCCTGGGCGTCGTCGCTGGCACACAAACCGCACTCCTGGATTATGGCGGCTCTTGGGTCGGGACCGGGAAGGTGCCATTTGAAGTGCATATCGAAAGCAGGTGTCCTGACGCTCGAGATTGTTTACAGAAACTGGTTGTGCCAACATATTGGCAAGTGAAAGACAAGGTGGATTTTAGGATCAGTTACGTTGGGGAGTATGTTACGAGCCAGAATCATCATTTGCCAACCATGTCGAGGATGCTGACAGCCACCGTGCATTCAGGGTCTGGAAAGAGCCGAGGAAAGAAGTGACTTGTCAACATGGGTGGAACGAATGTGACGGCAATAAGCTGCTTATATGTGCTGGAAAGTACGCAGGTTCCGTTGCTGATGGCCTGGCGTTTGTCAACTGCGTATTATCCGACTACGAACGGGTCCCTGAACCCAAACTAATTGAAGAATGTGCATGGGAGCATGGCATTGATTATGATCAAATTAAGGCATGCGCAGACGGACATGAAGGCCGGAATCTGTTAATCAGCAGTGTCGAACGCAGTGTTGCTGTGGAGGCCAATTTCAGCTGCACTGTTCGTGTCGCTGGTGAGAAGTGGTGTTCGAGAGACGATTATGAATGGCAATGTGACAAGTACCACTATACAGTTGAGAATCTGGTCGAGGAAATCAAGAAATTAACTGAGGAGGATGCAGACCGCCACTCCTAATGCTTTCGTCTGGAGCATCAATGTGAAAGTGGTCCTTATAAAGCTGCGGACCCAGATCCATTAGATTGCTTTTGGCTTGTGGGCAGGTTTTGATAATACTAGTGTGCTAATGCCATATAGTGATCCTTTGAGGTTAAACATGATGGGCCACAACGCCATTTGACTACATGCATGTAGTTGTAGTGTCTACTGAGTAGTAGAATTCCAGCTCCATTATATCCGGTAATAGGCGTCCCGGAAGCTCCGTGATATGCTTAGGGATTCCAGTTCTCCATATCTATGCTGGTCGGCGGAAGAGCCAAATGCACTAGTGCGGAGTATATCCTTGAAGAAAAGGCCACAGGGCAGCCATTTGCATCCGAACTCCACTAGATACTCTTAGCTTATTCCACTGTGGTAACTTATATATACAAGGCTATTTTTATCATCAATTTTTTAGCGACACACGTAGTCAGATTACTTTCCTAGGTAGGATGGTTTCCATATAACTTATTAAGGGTTAATGATGCAGTTCACTAGCATACTTGGGCCACCTATCATGACAGGATAGTCTAATATCGCACAAGATATAGGAAAGTACTAATCTGATCCTGCAATAACATATCGACATATTGCCTAGACAGCCATTCTATCATTGATTTATCGAATCTACATAAGAGCTGAGACTGCTGCCCCACTTGCATACAAGTCCAAAGTCACTGGAGATGTGACACTGCGTCATTACAAATTATGCAGGGGCCTGGATAAGCAATTCAGCCCGTTTTCTTGATTGGACTGCTTACATGCATATACACATACTTGATTAGATCTCGTTTTTGATGTCCATAAGCAGCCTGATCATGATCCGCCCCCAATCTATAAGTACCGACCCCCACCGACGCTCCAACTTGCCTGACGATAAATGGGACAACCACCTAACTTAACCCGAGATTCAAGTCATGTTATCTACCTAGTTAAATGCCAAGATAAAGACACTTAGAGTAAAACTACGAGGAACTTAAAGAAAATACTTCCAACTTCTTCACCTTTTGACCTTCCACCAAAATGACCACTATTCTCGACATCCCAGGCACCAACCCCCCAAATCCCTTCACCACCCCTATCCAAGCCCTTTTACTCTCTACCAACCCATCCTCAACACCAGACGAGACAGCAGCCCACCTAGTCAACGCAGTCACCACCTCTCCCGACCCCGCCCACTCCCTCTGGCAACTCTGGGACGCCTTCTTCACCGCCGTCGCCACCTCACCAACACACACCCCGCACCTCGCCCTCCTCGACGCCCTCCGCGCACAACCACCAATACAGCCTACCAACGTCCGCGCCGGATCAGACGCACAGCGCACCCTCCGCAGCTATCTCGGGCCAGACGGCAGACTCAACTGGGATGCCCTACCCCGCTTCAGCGCGCAGTGGCGTGACGTGCATGATATCCTCGAGGCCAGGCGCGACTGGGACGGGGTGCGTGAGTCTCCCTCTCCTGCCGCCAGAGCAGTAAGTAGCAGCAGCGGCGCAGAGTACTTTCTCCGCTTTTGCGCCTTCTCCGCTGCGCTGCTGAAAGCGACGAATGGGAAAGGTGGGGTGCATCCCATCTGGGTCTTTTATGCGTGTCGTGATGTCCTAGAGCGTGAGCGACTGGACCCTGACCAGCAGCAAAGAAAACCGCACAGGATCCCGTTGGAGGAAGTCTGGGCGCTGGATGTCCGGGTTGCGGCGACGTGGGTGCGGGATGGGGGCGTGGCGCTATGGGAGGCGGACCGGGAGGAGCTTCGGCGGCATTGGGGTGCGGCGTTGGATGAGAAGACGGAGTTGTGGCCGAGGGAGGATGGGCTGACGCGGGAGCGGTGGGAGTTGTGGGAACGAAGGCTGCGGGGGTTGAGTGTTGAGGGGGCGATTCTGGACGGGGAGACTAGGGCTGTAGTTGTGGAGGCTGCTGAGGTTGTTAGTCGTCTTTTGAAGAGGACTGACTGATCTATCTCAACCACAGCTGGATTCTGGCTGAATGGGAGAAAATTGAAAGGGAGACATTTCTTTGTTATCACGGACCAGTATGATGTATCCAAGACTACTATAACTTGCTCTTGCACAATCCTTATATACAGATTATCTTTTAAGTAAGGACTTTAGTCTCAACCACAAGGCCAAATTAGTGGATGTGCAGCACTCGATTTCCGCATGGCTGGGTCTCAAAGTGAGCCATTCCTAGCAACGACCCAAAATATCCAGCAGCTAGGTAGGGAGTGCATCATCAAACCCACCCCAGAAGCCCCTCGTTGGTCAAAGACTTGCCTGCAAACGCGACGAATCCCCCAACAACCGCCATGGCACCGCTAAACATACAAACCTGAAAGAACCCTCCCGATGCATCGAAGATAGCCCCGTTAATGGGAGGCCCGATCAGCGCCCCCAGGCCAGCCACAGCCATACCCATACCCATATAGGTGCCGACCTCCTGCGGGTTTTTGGGGCAGGTCGCAAACGCCGCCGACGCGCCGGAGATGATTGTGCCTGACGTAAAACCAAAGAAGACGGCGTAGACGATCAGGCCGGCGTTTGTGGTTGCGGAGGTCATACAAAAAACGATGATTCCCGTGGCGATGCCGCCGATGGCGAAGGTGTTGAGGCGGCCGTACTTGTCTGCGAGAATCCCGGGGATGATCCGGCCGAGGGTCGAGGTTGCGTTGACGATGGCGAGGAGGTACCCGGCCAGCGCAACGTTCATGCCTCGTGTGGTGGCGTATGTCGTGAGGTAGAAGAAGGGAGTGAACATGCCGAAGAACATGAAGAACAGGGCGATGAGGAGCATGATGAAACGTGTATTTTTGTAGGGCGATAGGAGGAAGAGTCGAGTCTTCCGAGGCGGCAGGCGAGGCTTGACGGCTAAGCTCGCAAACGCCATGAACGGCAGAATGATGAAGCCCACGATGCGCACCGTCCATGCAAAGCCGAGCGAAGAGTCGTTGAGCATCTTGGACAGAATGATCGGTAGGATGATCCCTCCGATCGACGAACCGGACACGGCAAGACCCAAGGCAGCTGCGCGTTTCTTGTCAAAATACTGCGACACGGCAGCGAACGCTGGGATCTGCAAGAAACCCATGACGATGCCCATCAGGACGCCCTGCACCAACATTGTCTCCCAGTATGTTTTGCACAAACTCAGCATCATGAGAGCGAACACGTACGCCACCGACGAAGGGTAGATGACCTGTTGCATCATGTCAGTCCAATCTCCTTACGAACAGTAACTGAGGACAGCATACCATGGAGCCGTAGCGGTCGAACAGCGGACCGCCAAGCATACCGGCAAAGAACTGCAGAAAGGACTGCAGTGACCCAGTCCAGGCTACCTTGGACGCCGAATCCCCCTTCAGTTGATGACTCAGGTAGTACTGTTCGAATGTGCCAAACGAGTTTGCGAGGCCGAGAGTGCACAAGAAGATCGATGCAGCGCCGCCGGCGACGAACCAAGCGCGGATCCCACCATCGGGTGCTGGATTATTTGGAGGCATGTTCTCGGGAGTACTTCCAGGCTCAAGGTCTTTGTCATTATTGATGCGGTGATGTAGTTGTGCTTCCTCGTCATAGGAGAGTGACTGGTCAGTTGTTCCGGACGCCATGGCGCAGTAGGTCGAATATGATGAATGCAGCGAATAGGATTCGTGCTTGTAGTCAGAGATTGCAGTGCAAGAGATCTGGGTCTGCCGTCATTGTAGAGACAGCATTGCCTTCAAATACTCCTCAATACTCCCTAGTCCCTGCTCTTAGGGCTAACGGAGATAAAGCGGGACGGGGCGGACTCGGCTTTGACTTTCCGGATTTGGCAAAGTTGGGCCGAACTTCTATCCCATCATTCCCAGGTATCCATCATCATCCATCCATCCATCCATCCATTTTTCCAGATCATCATGCAATGCTCAGCTTCTGTCGTATATTACTAGATTTCATGGCTGCCTCTACCTCTTGTCTTCATGGCAAAATTCATGATCCTGTCTGAGGGGCGGCGCAAAAGGCCGACAGTGTCATGTACGCTGTGTCGGAGACGCAAAATCCGATGTAATCGAGAGAGACCCTGCAGCAACTGTCTGCGATCCAGAAGCGGCGCTTGCATCTACGAGAACCAGGGTCCTTCGCCTCACTCTCCTGGACAAGGTCTCACGGTCGAGCGGGAAGAGTCGATGCAAATAGGCAGTGCATCTAGTGCCAGTTTGTCAACCCCACCAAGCCACTTACTGAGCTCGGTGGCCGCCGATACGTCGAATGTATCGAGGCCTCCGAGCGAGCAGCTTAGTCAAGATGCCGAGGTCACACGGTTGAAACTAAGGATTCAACAACTTGAGGATCAGCTGGCCCAAGCAAATTCCAGGCCCATGAATCAGCCGTCCCATGATTTAGATCCTAACTCGGATATCGAAACAATAAGCTCACGTCTGAGCGGAATGCTTCACATCCATCGCAAGAGAGGCGCATCGGGCCAGCCGCTGCCCAACCCCCACAATGTGAGCCTCAAGACACGCTTGTTCGGCCAAAGTCATTGGGCCGTCAGCGGTGTCTGTCTGGTGAGTGCACACACCCTTCAATTTAGTTGCCTCCCGTTCATGGATTATACAGAATCTAAAAGCAATCAGGTTCGCGACATCTTCAATATACTTGAACCCTACCTTCGTGACGAATCATCTCAAGCCTGGATAGGCATCAAGAAGTGCAAAGACCTAGCTCGGTGCATCAAAGCGGCACGAGCACCCGCATGGCCTTCATGGCCATCACCTCCGATGTCCACGCTGCCTTCTAAAGAGGTAGCCGACGCGCTCGTTGATAATTATCTCCGAACGACTGAGTCCATCTATCGAATCCTACACGTTCCCGCCTTCCGCAGGGAGTATGAGGCGCTCTGGATATCGGATGAAAGGCCCGACATGGCCTTCCTGATGCAGGTTAAACTTGTGCTTGCCCTCGGCGCTGTCACCTATGATGATTGGTTTTCGTTGCGGGCCTCGGCCATTCAATGGGTCTACGAAGCCCAGCTCTGGATCTCGGGTCCAAAGTACAAGTCAAGGCTGAACATTCAATCTCTCCAGGCGAACCTGCTGCTTTTGTTTGCCCAGGAACAAGTGGGATTTAATGGAGATCTGCCTTGGGTATCGGCTGGCACGCTGCTGCGGAAAGCGATCTATATGGGCCTTCACAGGGATCCCGGCCGGCTACCCCAGATGACGACTTTTGCAATAGAAATGCGTCGACGACTCTGGAACACCATCCTCGAGGTCAATCTGCAGTCTAGTTTGACCTCTGGTAGTCCTCCTTTATTCTCTCTCAACGACTTTGACACGGCCCCTCCCAGCAACTTTGACGATGAGCAGTTCGAGGCTCACGATGCAGTTCCACGACCGGAAGGGGACTTTACCAAGGTCTCTATGGCAGTGGCACTCCGCAGCACCTTTCCCTATCGCTTTGAAGTGGTTACGTTCTTGAACAATTTAGCCACTCCCAGAACATATGAGGAGACTCTCCAGCTCGGTGCGGTCCTGCGAGAGGTGTATCGCATGCTGGCACAGACCCTGCGAGGATACACAAAGTCTGGCGCGGGACCCTCTCAATTCGAGATTCAGGTCGTGGATCTCCTCATGCACCGCTATTTTTCTGCTCTGCACATTCCGTTCTTCGGCCAGGCACGGCACGGAACCGCCTACGTCTTCTCGCAAAAGACGGTGGTCGACTCGTCGCTTAAACTGTGGCGAGCGGTGTGCCCGTCCCCATCGCTGACGACCGGTCCTCCCACCAGCGACGCTTCCTTGTACAGCAACGATCTGCCGCGACTCGTTACCTGCAGCTCGGGCTTTTATCCAAGCGTGGCCATACATGCTGCCTTTCTCATTGGGATGGAGCTGTGCACGCAATTACAGGAGGACGACGGCCTCTGTCCTACTCCGTTGCGCCCAGACCTTCTTTCGGTGTTGGAGGACGCAAAGGCATGGTGCTTGAGGGTTATCAAGGCCGGTGAGACCAATGTCAAAGGCTACTTGCTCATGAGCATCGTTTCGGCCCGGGTCGAAGGACTAATGCGCGGCCTTGGAGAGAACGAAGCTACTAGTCTACTGGTCAAAGCCGTCGAAAATGTTGGAGAGAAATGCTTGCCAATCTTGGAAGAGATGGCAGCCTCGATACAAGAGCAGAGTGGAGGGCCAGTGGATGACATGGCAGACGAGATGACGAACGACTGGAACTTTCTAGTGAGTGTATTGTATCTCCATGTTTGCAGTACCCCGTCCGGTTGCTGACCGGATTGCAGAATCCTGATGCGCCTTTCAGTCTGGGTGACACCGACCCAATAAGCTGGATCTTCAACGAAGATTTTGATCAGGGGTTTTTGGAACCCTAGGAAGATTATAGTGAGAACCACTCCTCCACTAGACCATACCACCAGCCCTGAAGATCTGAAATGCTCTACTCGACGAAGGAACTCTATGATTTAATGTGCGTGAGGACTTTGATTTGACACAGCTCTCCGTATCTGAGTAGCATTGTCGCGGCATGATGTGCAGTAAGACTTCAATTCTCTACTTTAGGCATTAGGCACTTGCAAGTATGTTTGGAAATGATAAAGGACCGCATCTGTGTTATATAATCAGGCTTTGCATTAAGAACTTAGAATCAGAATCATGGGTTAATATTTTAAATACAATCCTCATGCCCAAGAGTAAGCACCAGCTTATTCTCTCTATGACTATGACCAGTCTCTATCGGCAGTAGCACTCTTATATATATATACCTAGGTTAGGGATTAAAGAGACAACGACGGGTTGCGCAAGTCTCAGCAACCCAACATATGCACTATCAAAAAGCAAACTCTCGGACGTAGTCGCAGATTTCCTGAGCTCCTGTCCCTTTCTGAGCAGCCTGGTCATCTGAGAGTTTAGTAACGCAGTTTCTCACGTCCAAAGCCGAGCGCTTTCCTCCACATCCTACTGTTTGCCAGCCTTGTTGGCCAATCACAACCGATGAGCGACCCCTGATTTGATACCTGTGGCTGATATGAAAAGCGCCAACAATATACTCACCCTGTTATTCTACAGGAGCCAATCGCCCTGTTGTTAATCAACACCAATCAATATGCGAAGACGAAAAGTGCCGGAGAAACAGTGCGAAAATAGCACCACACATCCACTGCAGGTATTTCAAAAAGCTGAATTTTCGGGGTGGTTGGTAGCCCAGGATTAAGAAGACTGCCTGGAGTAGCTGCGCTCTAGTCTAGATCTACTTGTACCTCAACCTGGATCAAGTTCGCCAACGTGCCTCGGACAATTGACAAATGATGAGCAGACAAATCGGGGTCTAGGTCCAGATATAGTACGGTAGATCGCTGGGAGAAATGCTGGGCGAGATGTCGTGAGTTCTGGAAGTAATGAAGTCTGTCTCCCGAGCTGGCCGTGTGCAGGTCGTCTTTATGTCCTTGCTTGATCAATCCGTGAGATGTAAGATGCAAGTTAACCAAATAGATAGGCTCCTGCTGGCTAGGTCTAACTTAAGCTAGGGCTGAAGTGTTACTGATATTGTATGCATGATACGAAAGAAGGATGGTAGAAGGAAAACCGTTATTATTAAGTCAGCTACAAACAGATATAGGCAATTCACGACCTAATATTTTATCATCCGTCTCATCCATCTCATAACCAGCTAATAACACTTGCTCTTCCCTTCCGTCACTGCACCAGCACGCCTCCACTTGAATGCAGGCTGGTGCCCGTAATATTCGAATCCCTGAGCAAATAGACAAACGCCTCAGCCACCTCCTCCGGCGTCCCGACCTTGCCCAGCAGGGCCGTCGAAGCAAAGAACTCCCTCGTCCCCCTCCGCTGCTCCGGCGTGGGCCCCCAGATCTCAGTCTCCGTCGCACCGGGATGCACGACGTTGACCCGGAGCGGAGCCAGGTCTAGCGCCAGCGCGCGAGTCAACCCGTCCAGTCCAGCCGCGTAAGCAGCAGCGGCCGGCCATCCTCTCATGGGCTTCTCACCGAGCCTGCCACCGCAGAAAACGAGGCTCGAGGTGTAGCTGGGCTTGAGAAAACGCGGGGCAAGCTTGGCGAGCAATGCAGGGACGACAAGGGTCAGCTGGGCCTGGCCGAGCATATACTCCCGGCTGGTGCTTGTAATGGGCAGCATGGCCGCTCGACCCGCGGTGACGACGATGTGGTCGAGCGGGGAGTCGACCGTGGTCTCGGCGAGGAGGGTCTCGAGGCGTTGCTCAACGTCGGGCCGGGAAAGGTCGATGGTGAATCCCTGGATGTGCGTGTCGGGGATTGACGCCTGCGATTTGATTTTTGTGACTGCGCGGGCCACCCGCGTAGGGTTGGATGACGCGATGGACACGCGCACGCCTTGCTCGGCTGCTAATCTGGCGACGGCGGCTCCGATACCAGACGAGCCGCCAATTACCAAAAGTGACTGACCGGAAATCGGAGGCATCGTAAATGCGGTATGACAGTGGTAGTCGGACTGAGTTGTGATGTGCCGTCTCAGACGGTCAGACCATAGACTATATGTACAATGAAACTGTTCTATTTTTCTGGGCAAAAACATGCTCGGCCTTCGGAATCCTGTTAATTCCGCTCAAGTCGGTTTGTTTTGTCATCGTCTGACACATTGCCCCGAGTCACGCAGCAGCAGTCAGTTGTTGGTTACTGACACGCCATCCGTCGGGGTGATGATCAATCACGTCTTGGAAGATATGTGTCGTGCCATCCATGCTGTGTTTACCCTACTTCCACGACTACTATTATCCCAACTAGCTAGAGATGGTTGTCTGGACACCTTTTGGCTGAGTGGGAGATGTATGACAGAAGATATGCCTACTCGCGTCGCTGATCGCTCTCCAAACTGCTTGTTTGCCACAAAGACACATGATCTGAGAGCGTAGACTGAGATTTAGAAAGAAACATTTGTCTGTAGTAAGAGCTGTATAGGACGCAGGTCATTGGAGATGGTCTGGTACAGCGCTAAACAGCACTACACGAAAAATTCTGACTGTCATGGTCAAAGCATGAGCTGTAGAACTGTATTATTCTTCTATGACCTATCTAAACAATAGCAAAACCCGCCTTGCGGCGCAAATAAGAAAAGGAAAATGACAACGATTGTCTCTGATTATCACCCCAGATCGAATCTCCCAATGCATTTTCTTCGGCTGGGCTGGTGGGATCTCCCTTCCTAGACACCAAACTCAGTCGCGCCATTCTTCTCGTCTTTCTGCTCGGTCTTCGTCGGGGCCGCAGCAGGATCAGGGAGCTTCTTGAAGGGAATCGCAAGCGACAGGAGAACCGTGAATGCTGCGCCGGCAAGCGAGAAAGCAAAGACGTCCTTAATACCCACCATGTAAGCCTTGTGCACAGCAGCTAGGTCAGCGCCCTGGAAGACATGGGAGATTTCAGATGCGCCAGTGGTCAAGACCCGGACTGTGTCGATGTTGGGAGCATTGCTGGCGAGTTCCTTGAGCATATAGTTGGCGAAGATGGACTGTGCCGCGGTGACAAAGTAAGCACCACTAATGGAGTTGCACACTGGTCCACAGCGTCAGGAACTTGCAACTTCACGTAGATCAAAGAGGAGGGGAGAGGATGTCGGGGGAACTTACTCAGCATGACACCAGTGGTGGGGGCGATATGTTCAGGCTTGGAAAAGCTTTGCAGCGCAGTCATTGGGACCTGGTTCCCGAGGCCAATGCCGATGCCGAAAATGACCTGAGGGCCAATATAACGGGCCTTTGAAGAGTCGACGTCGAGGGTGTAGAGCAGGGCAGCGCCCACTGTGGCCAGTACTCCGCTGGCGAATTCATACGGCTGGAGGAAGCGTGTCTTTCCAATGAGGAAACCGCTGAGCATGGACCCTGCAGCAAAGAAAGCCATGAAGGGAAGACTGTTGACGCCACTCGCGATGGCCGACTGGCCGTGGATGGATTGGAAGTAGATGGGCAGGTAGAAAAGCACCTGGAAGTTGGCGAGATTGGCACTTGACGGAAATTAGAGGGTTAGCCCGCAAAAACGACCGCGAATTCTTTTTTTTTTTTTTTTGCTGCTTGGGAATTTTTCTACTCACATCCAGCCATACATGGCATTGGTCCACACTAGACGCGGCTTCAGCAGGGCCAGGGGCACCATGGCGTACTCTCCCTGAATCCACTCGACCACGAAAAACACAATAGTCAGTGCAACCCACAAAACCAATGTGGCGATGACAGAGCCGTCACTCCACGGCTTGGTCTGGCCGCCCCACTGCAGGGCCAAGATGAAGCAAATGAGCGAGCAGAGGAGCAAGGTGAAGCCCGGGAGATCGAGCTGACGCAGGATTTCGACCCATGTGGCGGAGGCGGGCTTGATGTGCTTTGGCACCTTGAAGAAGAGCACGACTAACGCAAGGACGGGACCGCCCACGGGCAGGTTGATCCAAAAGCACCATCGCCAGGTGACCTCGCTGGTGAACGCGCCACCAATCAAAGGCCCGATGATGGTGGAGAACATGAAGACCGACATCCATAATCCGATCAACATGGGCCGCTTCTTGGGCTCTGCGACGTAGCTGATCATGAGCACGGAGCCCCCCAGTGTCCCGGAGCATCCCCAACCCTGCAGCGCTCGACCGACGATCAAGGCCGCGCTGTTTGGCGCGGCTGCGGCCAAGATACTGCCGGCGAGGAAGATGACCACCGAGGTGAGATAGACGAGCTGGGCGGAAAAGTATTTGTAGAGCTTTCCCCACATAGGTGAGGAGCTGCCGACTAAGAGGAAACAGGCGCTTCCATACCAACCGACGTCGTCCAGGCGGTGGAAGTCGTCCGTGATGCCCGGGATTGCCGTGGCGACGATGCCCTAAAGACGCACACAGTCACACACACACATCCATTATTCCGTCCACGTCTCATGGCCCCAGCACAAGGAGTTTGGGAGGTTTTCAATAGTACTCACAATATCCAATGCCGCCAGTAGGGTGCTGAGAAAGATCGTGCCCATGACGGCGGCCAGCCGAAAGCCTTCAGCGTACTCGGGCTCAGGGGCCGCACCATCATCATGCAGTCCATGCTTCTCCTGAACAGCCGTATCTGGCGTGGAATAGCCGCCGTCAGTCGCCCCACTCTCTTCCTCTTTTGTCGCCATTTTGGAAGCGTTTTCGTTTCACTTTGATCGGACCGACTGCTGAGAGGGAATGAAATGCCGGACTCGCTGGACTTGCTGGATGTGTTGGACGAGGTACGAGGTGGTTGATGCTGTACTCTGGTAACCAACTTAGGGTTTATACTCCAGCTGCTCCGGGCTGTTTAGTCAGAAGGAGCTCGCCCATTGGGCCATCAGGGCCATCAGGGCCATCTGTTCCACCATGGTTCTGACAGAGAGGCCGTCTAGCCATTCTGGGACCATGACAAATCGGCGCGAGCGGATTTAGCTGGAGATCTTGGGGGGTTTGCTGACCAACCGCCCCGAACGATCTGATCCTCTTAGCTTATGGCGCTCCGGGGCAATTAGTAATTAGGTCTGTTGCTAGAAAGGTTTCGGCTGAGCCAAGCCAAACAAGGTGGATTAGCCGTGGCCCCAACGGCGAGGGCCGTCGAGTACAGTCAGCGCTAGTGATGCAAGACGGAATCCATTCCCTGTGCTGGCGTGCTTCAACGAGGACACTATCTGTGTTGTCAGACTTTAGTAGTCACGACTCCAGGACAGGAAGACGACAGAATCTTTTTTGCTCGAAGAAGCTCCAAGGAGGCAGCGAACAGCTGCCATAGTAATGGAGGTCTAACCTGATAAACAACTGGACTTTATGGACTACACGTCTGGCAGGAATGTCCCCCAAGCCGTCTCTAGAATAGTCAACTGCTTCCCCAATATACCACGATAAGAGATTTGACTAGCGCGTCTTATTGATTAATTAAACAAGTATCCACGAGCGGGCAAACGCCACCCGCATTTATCAGCAGTCCTGGTCGCCATCGTCTGATCCTCGTTCTGTTGAATGTCTGTCCATCGTCTCTATTCACTCTTCTCTTTGATGCTACAAGAGCGAGTTCTGTCAAGAAGCACGCTCAACCCACACCGACCATGCCTACCCTGGACCCCAGTGAGCCGGAGGCGGATCGCAGAGCGCCGCCCGTCGTCCGTCGCAGCGCCCTGGGCTGCACCAAAGTGCGAGACAGCTGCCACTCCTGTGCCACCTCCAAGATCAAATGCACGAGAGAAAAGCCCTCGTGCTCCAAGTGCGAAGCCCGAGGCATCAAGTGCGAGTATTTCTATGCGAGGCGCCCGGGACGTCGACGCGACGACGGCTCGGGGCACCCGACCAGCTGTACCAGCAACTCCTCCTCCCCGTCCTCTTTATCCTCTTCCTCGTCGTCGAAGCCAAAGTCCATCCCAGACAAAGACACTCACAGCGCCCTCTCCCGATCTGGTGACAAAATCGAGGTTGTGGGACTTTCTCCCCAGCAGGGATACGCGACAAACGGCACAGCTCCCCCCACCAGTTTACCTGCGAGCAACGGCTTTCTCAATACACCTCAGAGCTTGCTGATGACGGAAGCTGCGCTGACAACTGATAATGTTCTGGGCCAATATCCATCAGACATCTCTTCCGTGCTGGCGGACTCGAATATGTTTCTTTCGCTTTCGGATTTCAACTCCGACCCCAAAGACACGGACTTTAGCATGACGGATTACTTTGGACATCCCGCCATCGATGGCGACCGAGATATCGGATCGCTTCTCACACCGGAGACCATCAGTTTTGGCTGGGGTGCGTTGGACTCTAATGATCCTTTGAGTGCGCCATTCGCGGATTCGTCTTGGGTACCCTCGCTTGCTTCGAGCATTCCAACATCGTCTACTACAGACCCTAATATGATGATGATGATGATGCGCGCGCCACCTACGCCCCCCACCACCGACATATCCTGTGGCTGTGTGGCCCAGGCTCTCGATCTGTTAAAGACGCTGTCATCGGCTCAGTCGTCCCCGACCTCCTCGATCTCCGGCACGAGTCGTCCGGCGCTCTCGTCAAGCATGACCGCTATGATCTCTGCGCAGGCGGTATTGGCAGAGAACAAGCACCACATCGAGACAGTAAGCAACCTGCTCTCATGCTCCTCGTGCACTGAGGACGCCTTCCAGCTTGTAATCGTCTCCATGATTGTGCTCAAGATCCTGGAGCGCTACGCCTCTGCGGCACGGATCCAGGGTTTCGGTTTCGGCTCAGAGGTAGGCAGTGTGGAGACTGACACGGGGCCGAGGTCAGCAAACAGCATGATCTCTAGCAGCGAGGACCAGGTGAGGGTGCTAAGCCGTACATACACCATGCCCTGGGACGATAGCGCCAGAGGTTACGCCCCCGCTCGGCTTGTCCTCGGCGAACTGCACCGGGTGCAAAGATTAGTGGATCGGCTGTCACCAAAGCTAACAGCCAGTAAGGAAGGGGATGCTCGAGGCATGGAACACGCTATTTGGGGCGGTCTCCAGGTAGCAAATGGAAATGACAAAACGCAATCAACACCCTTTTGTTCGAATACGTTGGCTCAGATGGGGAGCGATATGCGGAACAGCCTCAGTTCCTTGTCTGCTGATATCATCACCAGACTTGGACAGAATTAGAATGAATGATTAGTTCCTGGACTCCGTTCAGAAGGGGCGTTATTGCCGGACAGTAGAATTTTCATTTTTTCTTTCCAGGAATTCACAGGGGTATTTGTGCTTTGAGGGAGACGGTCTATATAGTCATCACTTCACCAACGTCATTTTAAAGAATAATGACGATCTGATCCACCAGAGTAGCGAACTGACTGCACCCAAATGGGTCTAAGCAATAGGTGTAATTTACCAAGTGCCCCTGGATCAGTTATACATGTCTACGTGACATGTATCCCTACTCAGCTCCCAAGAGCGTTGAATGTCAAACCGCTATCTTTGCACATTTCAGCTTGAGCGCAGCCGTCATTTTGGACGTCAGAGGCTTGCCCGGGGGCATTCGGGCAGGGGGGAACCTAATGACGAGCCTGAGCAGTCGAAGCCGTAGATAGCTTTTCTGTAGAGCGCCATACGGTTCCATCCCACGGCTCTGTCTCCTCAGGCCGGCCAGCAGATGCTCGTTATCGGCGCTCTCGCCCTGCAGATTAAGCCTTCGCGTGTGTCCTTGCGGCCCCCAAAGGGCATGAGCCGGCCGACATGACGAGGATGTCAGCCTTGATCTCATTCTCTTTTATTCCGGCGACGATCCTGTCGATCTCGGAGATAATGGAGACATCCGGCCTGGATGAGGTTGTACGTCTCTGTCGATGCTGGATATAGCTCCCATGAAGACTGCGACAACGCTGGCGGGGAGGCTTCCAACGCCCACATTGGCATGCCGGCGCCGTTTGGAGAGAGACCATTTTGTTGAAATATTATTTAGAGATGGTCAGGAAAGTGTAAGCTCTAGCAGTCGGCTGGATGAGACCCAGACTCTTTATGCTGTCTCTAGCTCCATCCACCCACACATCTACTACTGGCCCCTGTCAGAGAGACGGGGCATACCGCTCTGACACATCACCCCGCCAGCCATCGCTGATGCTGGCTGACAGATCAGCCCGAGACAAAAGCAAAGAATCCTTCTTCGGACCAGCACAAGGGGGGAGCTCGGGTAATGTTGATTTCTAATCGATCCGTCTTGGTCAGACCCTACAGCACGCCGAGCTCTTGGAGTAATTCTCGTGAAACCCACCACTGCACCGACCAGGGGGAACGGCGAGCGAGTCGCATGCAGCCAGGACCACCTATAGTACATTATCCCAAAGCTCCTAGAGGCTGCTGAGAGAGCCTTTCCCACCGCCACCTCAGCGCTTGGACGTCTGAAGAAATGCAGCAGAGTAGAAATGCCAAATCAAGTAAGGAAAGGGGTTCTAGTCTTACTTGGAGAACCGCAATATCAGCCATACCAATACAAGCGCCGCATACCAACCGGACTGGACTGGATTGGAACATGAATCGCTGCTTCTACCCCATCTACTTTACTGGGCCGGGGCTATGAGCGAAGCCATGAATATTGCAAAATTCGCCTGGAACTGAAGCAGTAGGTAGTTACTTAAACCTCGGCGATAGTCCGGAACAACCTCCTCATCGACCTCCTGCATGGCCTCATTCTCGGCCAACTTGCTCACTTTCGCACGGAACGGAGAGTCGTCAGGTTTGTCCATATATTTGAACAACCCCCGCAGTCCCTCAAAGGGCAGTCTCCCTGTAAGCATGTAGAACGTGATGACACCCAGAGACCAGATGTCTACCGCCGGGGTATAGGCGAAGCCCGAACCATCGACCGCGGCTTCTTTCTGGCTGCAAAATTTCAGGAGCCAGATAACTTGGAGTACCGATCACAGTGCAAAAGACCGTCACGTCTTGATCCACTTGCTTGCTCACTCCAAAATCTCCAATCTTGACCTTCCAACTGGGGCCTTTGGACGTGACAAAGATATTCTATAGCAGCACAATAAGTACTCGGCAGCAACCAACCCATGCCCTGCCCCAGACATACTTACAGCGGGCTTCAGGTCCCTATGGGCGAATCCCTCGTCATGCATGAGCCGCAGGCCCTCTAGCAGTTGGACTGTGATCGTCCGGGCTTCCGTTTCAGGAATCGCCTTCCCCAAGTATCCCTGGAGATCGCCCAGCGCCATGTATTCCAGGGCAATGAAGATGCAGAGTTCACCCTCGTACCAAGCCGAAGACCGGACAAAATAAGGTGCGTACTGGAACGGGTCAGGGACGGGCCCTGTTCACGGAACAGATCGCGAGCAACTCACTTCTTTCTTGGAGAATATGGCAATCGCTTTGAGTTCTCAAGTGTAATCAATGCTATTAGCAGAGGACTTCGCCTTTGGTATCTCCTTGACCGCTCGCAGCCGTCCCTGGCCTGTCCGTCGTGCATTGCTGCAACCAGAACTCGCCATAAGATCCCTTGCCGAGAAATCGCTTTTTCTTCCATTTGTCCTCGACCTTGATCCCAAATACCGCTCTGGATGTACTATGGCACGTGTACTCGTGCGTAAAGCGGACTGGTAATCGGGAGTTTTTCGATTCCTAGGCGCGCATCATGTTCCGTTCACTCGATAGTGAGGGGCCAACACCACCGGCATAGCGGAGCCCGCCTTTCTTCTTCATGTCTGGCGCTTTGAAATAACATGCGTTGTTGGGCAATATGCCGTCGTGGAAAGCCTCTGCTGCGCTTTGCTCAGGGAACAACCTGACACGTCACTTGTCAGCCTTGTCAGCCTTGTTGTGCATCGGAGACTGCATTGACGGCTTGTTTCCCGAACCCGAAAAAGACATTTACCTCCTCGGCACTGGCCGAGATTGAAAAATGTCAGGCGCAGAGCTCGGCCTGGCAGTTGTCGGCACTGTTGATCTTTGTTTCAAGTGCGTAGCCGGCTCGACGGCCCTGCGAGGCAGAGCGCTAATGAGATCCCCAGGTACGGCAAGGCACTCGTTGAGAGAGGTATAACAGTTTAAAGCCGCCGAGCGCGAAATCTCCGAGCAGGCGCGCTCTCTCTTGCCGGTCAATGGAAACGGATCTCCTTGCAGCTACAGTTCCTCTGGGAGATCTGGTCCAGTTTGGACGAGGAGCATCAACACCTGCATGACGAAATCCTGCATTTACTAGTCCAAAAGCTCCAGCACGCCGTCTTGCAGATCAGCAAGGTCGAGACAGGACATAACAAAAGTGGCTCGGGCCGCCTGTCGCGTCTGAAGCAATGGAAATATGCATTCACATTGAAGGAATGCCTCCACAGCGCGATCGACGACCTGAAAGAATGGCAAGCCACCTTTGATCCGTCGTGGTATCTGATCATCCGCGTGGTGAGCCCGCTCATCGACGTGGAGCGGGCCAGGCCGAGACAGCCATCAGAGACGGCGCTTTCGGTCGCGAATCGACTTCGACAGGCTTTGACCACGAAACTGCAGCCCAACGAGCGGATTTTCCTCCCGGTGTCGGGGATTGCCAAGTTCTAGGACACGCGCATACCGTTTTCAGAAGCCAGGATCCTGCACCAGGTTGGTTCGAGTTCGAGCTTCTCCCTGATCGTCGATCACGCCGAATGTCACCCCGACGCCAACCTCTCCGTCGTCACGCAAGACGTGGGCGCTAGAGCCAATCAAGTTCTGCCTGCTGGAGTGTTTCGGGGTGGCTAAGAACCAAGACGAGAACACCGGACGGGTGGATTCGTTTAACTTTATCTTTCGGATACCCAGGAACATGCGGCAGCCACGCAGCCTCCGCGACCACCTCTGCGCCGGGGCCAGCTACTCGCTCAGCGACGTGTTCGCAATCGCCAAGCGACTCGCGCTCTCCGTCAGCTATGTTCACATTACGGGGTTGGTGCAGGAGAACATCCAGCCCGAGACCGTCCTGGTCTTTGACGACGCGAGATCCCCACTGGGATAACTCGTGGGCTTCCGGACGGTTTGCATGGCCGACGGCAAGACGCTGCGGCACGGAGATGCCGCCTGGGACCGGAACTTGTACCGCCATTCTGATTGGCAGGGGCTGCTCCCCGACGCCGAATATACAATGCAGCACGAATGTCTACAGCCTTGGGGTCTGTCTGCTGGAGATCGGGCTCTGGCGGTCCCTCGTGGCGTATGATCCCGAAAATGGCTCGCCCTCCCTCGCGAAAACGACGGCCGGCTTTCCCGACATTGGCAACCCTAACTTGAAAGACGTTCTCATTACCTTGGCCACCGACGTGCTGCGGCAGCGGATCGAAAACAAGTTCGCACAGGTGGTGGTCAATTGTCTCACGTGCATGGATGAGAGCAATCGCGATTTCGAAGACAAGGAGGACTTCCAGGATGAGGATGGCGTCCTGATCGGTGTGAAATACATTGAGAAGGTGGGTGTGACGGTCCTAGAAGCAGAATCTGGGTTGGCTAACTTGACATAGATTTTGCTCCAGCTGGATGCAATATCTCTATGAGACTGTCAAATTAGTTAAGCTCACTTCATCGGGATACAACGAAGCGTAGCCTGGACGGCAGGCAGGGTAGCCTCATCACCAAGTCGATCTCTCATATGCCGGAGTAACTTCCGCAGAGTAGAGAGTCTTTGCTTGTTTTATACTGCTTAAGGGAGATCTCAATGCCATTCTGGTAGGATGTCAATTTCAATGGGTAAATCTAGCAAGATAGTTACAAGGGAAATTAGAGGGTACGCAGGCTGTCTGTCTCCTAGGTGTCATCAGGCGAGCCTACAATGATCGTTCAGAATCATTCTTCTATTTGTATTCTGTATCAAATTGAGAGGGGCGCAGTGCACTCTCATCGTACCTTGAACATGATGTATTCCAAAATAGGGACAGCAGTTGATAATCCAACGACAGCTTTTCATCAGCAAAGCCTTGGTAATTCCTGGCGAAAGATGGGAGACATGCCATGTTACGCTATAAGCCAAGCCAGCAAAGGATAAGCATAAGCTGCTTTTCAGCTGGACGCTAACTCAGGGGTAAACATTATAGCTACCCCTATGCTCGGCATACACACGAAATTGCAATCACCAAGGATACCTCATCCAGACTTCCCAGAGATCTCGTAGACCCGCATGTCGACGTCGTAACACCATCCTGCAAGTCATATCCAGCACCCTGCTCATCTTCCCAAGCAAATAGAATTCGTCTGTCCAGTTCGCCAAGCGATATGCACCACATCGTTAAGCCACAGCAATTTCGATTTTCGGCCACCCCGATTCAGCCGCAATGCTTTCGCTCGATTTCATGATCGCATGAGAACCGTTCTATGACAGCTGGCTGCACTGTTGTAGGGGTTCCGTCGACACACATTTAGTCTTACTTCGTACCATTCTGTATTTATCGGTAAGACCATACAAGTCAAGCCTCTCAATTGATTTCTGAGTACGGAGTACTCCTACCTTCCCCTGAAATAGAAGGTAGGTACCCAAAGTACCCCCCTTGGTACCTTAAGTACCTATGTTTCCATGTTGTTGACAGGCAGTAGGAGTAACCTTCTGTAACAACAATACACCCACAGAATTTCAACGGCTGGTATGTGACGGCCCCACGTGGCAAGCGCCAGCACCAGCGTACCTAAGGATAAGCGCCCTGGACCTGAACGGAATGGAACGCCTCAGGCATGAGCGGTTTGTGCTTTGACCTCGGCCAGGGCCGGGGTGTATGGCTGATCTGGACGGTGATTAGCCCGCGCGGGGAGCCACTATCGATCTGCGAATGTAAATCCCGTCGGGCAGGCTGCATCTCTGACAAATACTTGGAATGGTGGCAGCTGAGGATATGAGACTGCCCTGGTCTCGCTGAATATATCCCAATGCAGAAACTCAGTTGATTGCCAAGCGGGGACTGCAGGGTGATTGACTGGCTGCGCAGGGCAGGGGTGGTGACTGACTCGGTGGTACTGCAGTGCAGTGTGGAGCTGAATATAATAACTGGGATGAGAGAGCTAACTGGCGAGTATTATAAGCGATGCATAGGTGGTATGCTTATTTTCATTCAAGGGATTCAATTCAGTTCAGGCTTGGGGTATATCCATTCATACTGGATACTGTATCTGGAGGTAAGGTAAGAATACTGTACAATACTGATCAGAGGTGATCCACAAGCGGGTACTCTAACCCCATCAAGCAAGTGGAATACTATGAGATGATTTCTTCCAGTCAAATATCGGCATTGCGTGATCGACCTTTACGACCAACAATTACAATTAATAATAATACACCAGTACCTAGCCAGATATGCAAAGCAGGAACATGCACAACACTTAGTCCAGATCCTTGTTAACGCTCCGGCTTACGCATATGAAGCCCAGTAAATAGACTCTGCCAAAAGCGCAGCCAGTGAATTATACTCTTGTTTACTCCTGCAGGATTCATAGCAATGTCACACCTGCCGGATTGAATTATGACGATCTTTAATGGTTTGCTGATTGGAATGAGGCATATGCATGGGTCTCTTATAAGCATCAATAGCCGATCCTGCGAGGCTGCCACAGTATGTCTCACTGATTGGACTAGTCTTCCAAACCAATCCTACGTACTTTTTAAAGTATACTTTGACACGTGAATTCCTTCTGTAAAGTAAGACAACAATACTACAGAGTACAGTTTCATAATTCCACTCAAAGATACCAAACTGCCCCACAGCCCGCATGACTGGTCAAGCACACTACAAGGACAAGACAGAGGCAACCATGGCCCTCTTCACCCGGCCGTTTCATCTAAACGGCCAACCAACGGTTTTTTGGACTCTGTCTGGCTCTGGCTCTGGGTCCGCCAAAGGCAAGCGGGGACCACTGGAGAACCCCGGCTGTCGGTTCAGGAACGGTTCCATGGAAAAAAATGGGTTCAACTGCTCCGAGGAGATGCTGTGCTTTTTCCTGATCGGGAAGTAGCCTGGCAATAGCAGTGCTCGTGTACCAATCTGCACGAAATGATTGCTGTTCTGCGATGACATATTTTGTGCGGAAGATACTGATATAGAATTGTCATCTTTAAGGGCAAACTTCTGCCGGCAAGCTCCACTCGGATAGGATAAACGCACAAGACAAGACAGCGATCTCGCTTATCGAGACAAGAGTCCCCTCCACGACGCCACAAATTAGAAACAGGCATCGCGGAAAACACTCTAACTCCAAAGTAAATCCATTAATGATCACCAGGACGAGTGTTTCAGCTTTCCGACGGCAGTTATTTTTAGCTGTCATCGTTCACCACCACGGTAGAGACGGTAATGGCATTGTTCATTACTTCGGTTTCAACAAGATGGAGTATCCTCGCTACCTTGGTTTCAGCGAGCGATCAGTGTTAGTACCAAGTGCGTGATAGCCGGGTATCCTCCTAGGTATCCTCCTACGTCACGCGGCGCCAGCCAATCGACTAACCAAGACAATTCCAAATACTCTTGTCCAGGTTTGCCAGCCTCGCTGATCGCCTCCAGTCCACTCAAGCCGCCTGCGTATGTACCTACTATCTACAGTTGCAGTACTTGCAGTACCTTCTTCTTTGACCTGAACTCCTCGTCATTGTGACATACTGATCCTTATCTTCGACCAGCTGTGTCGGATCTCCCTTGTCTTAAGACTGAACGTGATGCCGACGCGGGACAAGACAACTACCGAGTCAGTAATCCCCACTTGAGTGGATCGCAGAGTCAGTTAGGAATGTTGAGGAAGGACCTACACCTGCACCGTGGTAATAACTACTCAGTACACTGTATTTTTTATTCCTTCTCCTGGCTACTAGGATAATCGCTATAGCCATCTAGTTACATTCGTAGAAGGTCAGAAGCGGATGGATTGTGCCTTGTCGGGAGGACTATGGGCCAGCCATCCCGCCCCGTCTCGTCTCGTCTCGTCTCGTCTCGTCTCAGCTTGAGCCGAACTGTCCTGCAGGGAGACTGGGACTAGATACTTGCAGTCGCACTTGCATCTGCAGTCCGCGGTGGCGACTGACTGGCGACAATGGGGCTAGCAGCGATCAGTGGAGGAGGCTATCCATTGTGGCTGACTGAGGTGTCAACTGACAGGCCTGAGTACATCCCAGAACCAGACCTACCAGCTGCCTGTACCCTGTAGACTAGATGCTATGTCTCCTAGACAGTGCAGTATAGATGGTGATACGCGATCCAAGCTCGTCAGTAACTACCCTACACAACATTCATAACAGATAGCCTGTTATACCTTCGGACGACCGTTGGGAGTACTCCGTAAAGAACGGTACACCCAAGCTTACAGTTTGCGCTTACAGCCAACAGCCTCCAAGTGTATACAAACCTACAGCAAGCTGACCTTAGCGGCCCTGCACGCGAGACAAATCGGAAGAAAAGCCAATCACCACCCTCACTGGCCAAGTCCAGCAGTCCCCACTAGCTACTCATCTTCTGACCCAACCCAGTCCTCCAACCCATCCGGCTCGAACTCTACCCTGGAAGACTGGGAGTCCGTACCCCAGCCTATCAGACCGAGAAGAGACAAGAGAGTGACAGAAGGCGCGCTAATCTGCATGAAACCATCTTTTTGATCCCTGCATCGTGGTCTCCTCCACTTGAATGATAGGATCGGGGGTTTGCTGCAAGTTATTGCAGAGGTTTGTCTGTCGATAGTCGATGGTTGATAGTTTCTACCTGTCGATTCTGGCCAGGATCTTGATTGCATGCATACTGCTTTTTTTTTCCTTTTGTTCCTTTATTTTCTATGGCCGGAGGTGAGCTGGAATCTGACCCAACGGCAAGTAGCAAGTAACAGTACGTAGGCGTAGGCTCGTAGCGAGCGCGAGATTTGGATTGCCGTCCTCCCTCCACCCCTTGCATGATCCTCGTGAGTGTGTCTGTGTGCGTGTGCTGTGTGGCGATTCCACCCTGACAGCCAGCCACGGTCTCGTCCTTGCATTGTCGGTGTGGATTACACAGCAGATCTCGTTTCTGCGAGGGAATCTGAATCCGAAAGCCTGATGGAAGGTACTTTACGGTAGCAATAGTAGAATAAACATTATGATTCATTTGTTCCTTTCGGAATCATCAACAGCAATGGGGTATTATCAAGTCCAAATATGCTCCAGTTGTAGTAGTAACTTCCAAGGCCACTTTCCCTGTTTGCAGAGGATAAACACACTCGTGCTTTTTTGCTTTAGGTTGGAGACTCGCGTATCCCGCGCGGCGCTCGCATCCCAGAATTTGTACACCGTAAGACAAAGGAGATAGCAGACAATAAGGAAATGTAAAGAGAGACAGAGGTCGGGTCATATATACAGAGGCACTGCCTGAAACAAAGAAAAGGCTCATCTGATCGTTGCAAGACATCATTTAATTAAGCAGGTTGTTGAGGCCCATTCGCGAGTCTCGTCGGGGCTGCTGCTCCGATCTGCATGGCTCTGGCGTGGTCCATGCAGGTGTCAATGATGCGGTCGGATGGCTCCAAGGCT